TCAGATTGGATGCTGAGGCACCTGCTGGGTAGTCAGGACATCCACATCAGTGTTTCAGTAGAGCAGTAAATGGTAGTGGTCATCGTCTTTAATTATGGAATTACCATCGGATGAGCGGAGGGGGCTGCGTCACAAGTGATTGGCCCATAAAATGTTTTGGTGGAGTTGAATTCGCGCATCTTGTGCTGATTTGCAAATTTTTGTGTTTCACATGCTTTATTTTTAAGCCAGTCATTCTTTAGATTGCGATGTTTGCGCTGGGCCGCCGCTTTCTTCTTGCGAAAGGTATCAGCTTTGGTCCTAGACTGAGGGTTGTTCTACCACTCAGTTAAGGCAGAACGTTTATCCTTGATGAGTACATTGATTGCCGGGTCATTTCCATCAAACCAGTCCTGGTGTATTCTTTCGACCTGGCCGAGGGGGGTCTCTGCACACACACACACACACACACACACACACACACACACACACAGAGTTATCAAAAACGTGTAAATGATTTTTGTGGTTAAGAAATGTATGCAAATTATATGCCTTTAAAATGTTAGGAAATTTTTAGGTTTTTAGTTACAGGTTAATGATGATGTTAAGGTGAAAAAAATAAAGTTTTAGGAATTTTAAGATACGCCATAATGTTAATACAGTATTACCCAAAAAATAATAATATAATCTTCCTTCATTGGTTTTTGGTAGGTTAATATTATCTTCAAATAATGTAATATTTCCTAGAGTGTTTCAGAGGTTGGAGCGAAAAATATGAATAGAAATGTTTGGGTTATTTCCCGCGCGTGAGCTAACAATTCTGAATGCAAATCACTGGACAGAAAAAAAAATATTTATATACTGTGCTTTTAGTGGTTGTTTAAATTAATGTGTTTAAACCTGAACGAAAAAAATGGATTCTTCAAAAAAAAATATAAAATAAAATTCCTTCAAAAATTTAGAAGTGGAAGAGTTCTTGTTTATTTTATTGTTATGTATTATTATTATTATTATTATTATTATTATTAAAAGTAGTAGTAGTTATAGTAGCATAACACAAGCATACAAACACTACCACACCACCACTACCACAACTAATAGTGCCACGCCACCACCATACCACAACACGTGGAATTTACTGCCTCGTATTCATGCCGAGAATTATTTAGAATCTCGTTTTTTTCATAATTACTTTGGTTTTGTGTTAAATAATTTTTGTACGTTTTATAAATGGTTAGAAAATCTCTCTCTCTCTCTCTCTCTCTCTCTCTCTCTCTCTCTCTCTCTCTCCAAATCCTGTCTCACTGTTTCATCCAAGAGATTATCTAATTACCCTCACCATGTCTTGTCTCACTATCTCACACATAGACACGAGACAGCAGAGAGAGATACTCCTACTATATCATTTATCCATCTCTTAGACATACGTCATTATCTCTCTATATGAAACTAGAGACAATTACGAGAGACATCATCAGTTAGAATTACGAAATATTTTATACTTTGATATATCCACTATCTCTGTCTCTCACTATCTCTATCTCTCAGTATCTCTTAAAAAAGACTAACGAGAGATCCATCCTTCAGTGAATGTTTCTAAATAAGTCCATATCTCTCAGTAGTCTCTTAAAGAAACACGAGCCAGGTCCCTTCTCCCCCCTCCCCCAAGAGACGCTGGTCACTGTATCGGAATTCGAGTCAAATATTTCATGAATAAATCTGTAAACATATGGACGAGGCTAAGGTGGGGTGGCTACTGGCCCCTCTCCACTCCCCGTTCTCATCTCCTCCCCAGATCTCCACTCCCCTCTCTCCTCCTCCCCATGTCTCCTCCCCTGAAGCAGTAGAACAGTGATTTAGATGAGACACTGAGATTAGGTGACATTGAGATTAGGAGACATTGAGATTAGGAGACACTGAGATTAGGAGACATTGAGATTAGGAGACATTGAGATTAGGAGACATTGAGATTATGAGACACTGCGATTAGGAGACACTGATATTAGGAGACACTGATATTAGGAGACTCTGAGATTAGGAGATGCTGAGATTAGGAGATGCTGATATTAGGAGACATTGAGATTAAGAGACACTGAGATCAAGTGAGACATTAAAGTTTTCTAGGTCACGTCAGAGCCACATGGACCTCCCGGGGTTTCTACCCATTGTGTTCACGACCACTACCTCCACCTCCTCCTCCACTTCCTCCACCACCTCCACCTCCACCTCCTCCACTACCTCCACCTCCTCCACCACCTCCACCACTACCTCCTCCTCCACCCCTACCTCCTCCTCCACCCCTACCTCAACCTCCACATCCTCCTCTACATCCACCATTACCTCCTCCTCCACCACCACTACATCCCTCCCTCCACCATTACCTCCTCCTCCACCACCACTACATCCTCCTCCCACCTCCCTCCTCCACCTCCTCCTCCTCCTCCATCACTACATCTCCCCATCCACCACCACCTGCACCACCACCTCCTCCACCACCACTCACCCCTCCCTCCACCGCTACATCCTCCTCCTCCACCCCTCCTCCACCACACACCTCCTCCTCCACCCTCCCACCACTACCTCCCTCCACCACTACCTCCTCCTCCATCACTACATTACCTTCTCCACCACTACCTCCACCACTACCTCCTCCACCACTACCTCCTCCACCACTACCTCCCCCACTACCTCCTCCTCCACCACACCTCCTCGTCCTCGCCATGGCCATTTCCTCCAACCTTCCCTCCTTCGCTCCACTCAATCCTCCACTGCACCTCCTCCTTTCTCTCCACCTTACCTTTCCCTTCTATCCACTCCACCTCGCCTTTCCCTCCACTCCTCCCTTCCACCCCATCCCACTTCACCCTCCCCTTCTCTCCACTCTACAGAAGAAACTCAGAAACATATTAAATTTGGACATTCAATTTTGTGCAATTATGAATTCAAATGAACGTGGCAATTACCCAGACAGGCATGAGTCTTGGGCGTGTGGAGCGGCTCTGAGTGACGGCCAGCCACCAATTTTGTCAAATCCTTCAGTTTCCCGGTGCTGGGGGCGTGCGTGTGCTCATTAAACCATAATTGTCTTTCGTTTTAAATCTTTGTGGATTACCAGAGTGAAGGGTTGTAGTTCTTAGTTGTGAACCGAGTTGTTGTTGTAGTTATTGTTGCTGTTAATTGTTGTTTGGTCGTCTTGTTGGTTGTTGTTGTTAGTTGTTGTTGTTGGTTGTTGTTGTTAGTTGTTGTTGTTGGTTGTTGTTGTTGGTTGTTGTTGTTGTTGGTTTGTCGTCTTTATACTTGGTCTCCCTCTTGAGTCCGTCCATTCGTGAGTGTCATGCGTCTTCTCAAGTGTTGGAAAAGTTGAGTGTTTAAACAATGGATTAAAGAAAGTGATAAATCTTGCCCCGTTGAGCAGTTTTAAGTATCAGAGGACGTGTGTGTGTGTGTGTGTCGTATCAGTAACACATGAAATAATATGTTTAATGATGTCGTTTTCCTACACACTCTTTTGAAGAATAAAAAAAAAAATCTTCATATAACAGAATAATACAGAATAGAGCCGATCATCACACGGTTGCCTCCCTATATAATGTAAAACGAACTACACAAGTTCTTAATTGCTGTAAGTTTCCTTGTTAACTGTTATGTGATGAAACAGACTCAAAAACCTGTACAATAAACTTCCTGAAATTCTGAAGGAAATTTCTTTACTGTCTCCAACATCCGTGAACTTAATTAAGTGGGAAAATCTTATTTTAGTTAATTATATTAGAGTGACTGGAAAAACTGCATCGTACCAGCCTGTCTTATAGCCAGTCACCTCACAGCCTGACTGCTACCAGGACACCCACTTCACCTACACCCTCCCTGCTGGTCGTCCTGTCCTCGAAACACTCGGCTTAATATTACCAAAAACATAGAACTTTGTCCTATTAATAAAGTTACTGTTTAGCTACACTTGAATTGTTGTTGTTGATGCTCGTGGTCCATGTGTTATTGTTTATTAATTACACATTATGGGTTTATCCTCTGTATATTCATCTGTTTATATATATGTTTTTATCAATCATTTCGTTATTTACAGATTTATTTATTAATATAGATTTTTATTTTGTATTTGTTTATTTGAATTCAGTGATTCATTTACTTATTTGTGTTTGCTTGTTCTTCTAACTACTATCCGCTGCCACTAAATCTTTGACCCCCCTAAATACCAAAAGCCTGGGCACAGTTAGACGTGGCACAGATAACGTAACTTTTCTAGTGTTTGGATGGACGTGTAGCAGGGTTGTGAGTGCTGCTTATCCTCCAATCACAAGCGAGATTAGTCCCCGCTAGATTTACGTTGATTGGTTGGATTTATTTGTGTCTGCCTTTTCCTCCAATCATGAGAAGTAACAAAGAAATATAATACAGTATTTATTATGAAGTTTTGAAATTTCGTGTGTGTGAAGGAGTTTGAAGGCCGCGCAGCCCCAACCTTTTCAACACTGGGTCACAGTTCACAGCACCTTTAAATCCTTTGGTCACATATAAAGTTGTCATCATTAAAAGGATACATTTAATAGGAAAATCATACTTCTGTTATGAGTGTACACTACAAGTATTTTACAATAAGTTGCATTTATCCAGAAAATTTGATCATTACATTTACACTTACAGTACAGTACAAAATAATAAACATTTGCACATACAATTCATTTGTGCAGCCACGCCTCATCACAAACTACATGACATTGGATACTTTCAGTGTGATTTTTGTTGCTGGATGGTTGCAGCAACAAGTTGAATCGTGGGGCGATATTTCTTGTTGCTGTCACTCTCATGCACGCAGACAACATCGTCTCTCCGAGTCTTTGCCATTTTTTTACTCTTGTTGGTGAGCAGATCTGAGAACCCTCTCTCAGAGGAGTAAGTGTTGTGGAATGGCACCAGCAATCATCTCCTATGCTTCTTTCTGGCTCACTGCTGCCCAAAAGTCGGTGCGGTTGCGGCTGTTGAAAAAGTCCTTCATTTCTGAGTCACAGTGGAGATCGATCAGTGTGTGTTTTTCTTGAGTGGGCAGATTGCTGTCGTTCAAGTTTGAAATAAGGAACGGGTGTTCTTATCCAACTATTCTTCTTTTCCTCATTTTCAGGAGGACAATATTTATTAAAATTCTGCTGGAGAACTGTGAGATGTTTGGACACAACTATCATCATTTTGTCGTCAATGACTTCATCCTTGGACTCTGCAATCACTTGCCCAAGCTCATCGAAGTCTGAAAAGTCCCTTCTCTCAACTCTTTTCTTCCACCCTGAAATTTTCAATTTGAATGCCTCAATTTTGTCATTGGAAGTGAACACATCTTGACCTGGCCCTTGAAGGGAGAGGTTCAACACATTGAGCTTGGTGAATATATCACACAAGTAAGAAAGCTTAGCAACCCATTCTCTTGCATGAAACAGAATGCATGCGGTGAGCCACATTCTTGCAAGAAGCCATGAACTGCCTTCCTTAGTTGAAAGAGTCTCTTCCACGCAACTCCTCTTGATAGCCATTCCATCGCAGAAGTCATGGAACATGCGAGATTTCTTAGCTTTGCTCTTGATATCATTGATGATAATGATGCACTTTTTCATTACTGCATCCAAATCGTACTCACTTGGTAGATGCTTCAATGCCAAATTCTGGCGATGCAGGGCGCAGTGAGAACTTTTACAGTTCGGTGCATAATCTTTCAATCTTACCACCTCACCATTTCTTATCCCAACCATACTCGCTGTGCCATCGGTTGTGATGTGTGAACACTTTTCAATTGCAATCCCATTGTGGGTGAGACAGTCCAGAACATCTCCACAGAAAAGAAACTCTTCTGTCATTCGCAGGCGGTCATAATCAACATAGCGAATGAAGCATATCTGCTGAGCCCTGTTTGTGAGATCTGTCGACTCGTCAAATTGCATTCCATAGCAGGGACTTTTCCTAACCTTTTCGCCTAGCTGTACAAGCAGGTCCTCAGCAATCATCAACGTCCGGTGTTCCGTTGTTGTGGCTGAAATGGGAACCTCATTCAGCTTCATAGCAGCACTTTTACCAAACACTTTTGCAAGGATGTTCATTGCTGGGACGATGATTTCTTCACTCTGGCCAAATATGAATTAAAAAAACGGCAAGGCGTTAAGGGTAAACATAAATATATTTTAGAAATGTCCTTCCTCTGTTTTTTAACCTAATTTCTGCTCTTATTTGACTCTTATATACGATACCACATTATGTGTGTGGTCGGGGGCCCCGAGGCACGTGCCTCTTGTGCCTATTGGGAAATCCGCCACATTCTACAGTGCTGGTTAGAAGGAAGATTCATCTACAGCCGTTGGAAATATCTGTACTTTGTTTTGTTTTAGTAATTGTTTAACTCCAGTGCTGTTTATTTAAAATTTGTGTGAGTGGTGTCAGAGTTAAATTTGTGATTATTTTCTTAGTAAAGAGATGTCCTCTCTAACGGTTGTTTATTACCCCTTGGAGACCCATGGTTCTTGACTTTCCTCTGATAAGATCCTGATAAGGCTGGCAAGGGATTTATATCCTACAGGCCAGGTCTTTACAACAGCATATAACAAGATTGACTTGTTCACTGTTTTTTGTGGGTCACGATGTCGGTCACAGCTGCTCCTGGGTCACAGCACCCAGTCACAGTAGTCTCTCGGGTCACACTAGTAGATGGTTTGGGTCACAGGGTTGGGGAACACTGGTCTAGACAGCTTGACAGTATTTGAAATGGAATTATATATTGTTTAAATTAAGCTGCCCCTTCATTATGATAAAATTCCGTAACGAACTAATTATATTTGACAATACAGACCCGCTTTTGATATACTGTTTTTACTTACCAAACAATGGGGCGGTTATCATTACTTATTAAAATTTCTTGTCTGTGTTCAACCATATTTATCTCGGCTCTGTGTGTGTTAGTCACATCTTTGTCTCTTTTCTCAAGTATTATTCTATTAACTGCGGGAAATATGAAGTCTTGTTCTTCCTTATTTCCTTCTCAAAACTTGAATTTATTGTTGTGTTAGTTGGCTTCAGTGTGAGTGTGTGTTCTCCCACTGTTACCGACCGAGCGCTGGGGTGTGTTAGGGGTGTGTTAGGGTGTGTTAGTGTGTATTGGCTGACCCCCCCCCCGCGCCAAATGAATATCTATTTACTGTAAACATTATGCAGATTATATCAATTTACACATTAATGAATAAATAAAGGTGTCGTCCATAACCGGAACTCCACACGTTATTACTGGTCCTCATTAACAGGTAACAACAGGTAGAGGGTAAACAAAGGCCTTTTTACCTGAGGGTCATGAAAGCCGTAATCATTGTTTCTATGTATGTATGCCTAACTACTGAAATATGACTCCTATTGCCACCTACCATAGGGAATAATATATGGTGTCCGGTCTATCATGTTGCTAATGGACTTTGACCTCTTGTGCACCGGGTCATAAGGGCTGTTTTATGACCTGGTGAGTGTGAGCCTTCAGTGATGATCCAACAGTGCTGATATAGTTCTGATTACTCTTTAATGAAATAGAATTTAAATTGAAAATTAATTTACCCTTGCTGGGCTGATGGCCGACTGGTGACCTGTATGTATCATGATGACCTGTATGTATCATGATGACCTGTATGTATCATGATGACCTGTATGTATCATGATGACCTGTATGTATCATGATGACCTGTATGTATCATGATGACCTGTATGTATCATGATGATCTGTATGTATCATTGATTTATAAACTATTGAGGGGACCATGAAGGATAAATATTTCGGATCACCTGAAGATTAACCACCAAAACGCTACCTGGGGGTTAAGTTAGGTTAGGTTAGGATGGTTATTCTTTAAGTGATCCAATATTTTTATGTAAGAAGATTCAATCCTGTTTCACTCACCTGTCTTGTGTGTGTGTGTGTGTGTGAGTGCGTGTGTGTGTGTGTGTGTGTGTTCGAGACAGTGACTGTAACACAAACTCACTCCTGTATCTTTCCTCCAGACAGGTCCTGTACGGCGGGGCTTCCTCACCTCCTACACCCTGCTGCGGGTCCTCAGTTCTCAAGGATCAGCCCTCCTCAGGACCCCGTAGGACTCGCCCACTTCTACAGGAGGACGCCGATGCTGTAGGAGGCTTGTAGGGTTATCCAAATCCTCCTTCTGACTGGTGCTAAGGATTCTTGCCTTGGGTCATGGACGATTGGTTTTAATATAGAGTGAAAGTCTTGCCGCTGTAGTGCTTGGCGTCGGTTCAGGCAACAATGTCTCAAGAAACTCCGTCTGGCATAAACCAGGATACAGTCTGGTCTGGGTGTGGGTTGAGCAGTGTGTGTTGTGGGGAGTGAGGGTGAGGGGGAGGCTATGGGCACATCACTGCGTCCTCTAGTGAGTAGAACATTCACACACGTAGAGAGAAAAAGATGTTTATTCTGGCACTGTCACTCAAATATGGACTTTGTATGGGTGATAGTAGTACAGCAGTGAGAGTGAGGGAAGAACTCGACCACCCTGGTAACTCTAGCTCAGGACAGCAGAAGGCACAGCAGCAGAAGGCGAGGTAGCAGAAGCATAATGTGGTGGGATACCACAAGACGAAGTCTGGCAAGGGTACTGCTGGTGGTGGTGACGGTAGTGGCCCTCAACCATGAAGAAATGATAGGGAGGAGACGCAAGACCGCCCTGCTGGAAGGAGACATCCTCATCGGCGCCCTATTCAGCGTCCACCACCAACCCAAGCAGAAGAGTGCCTTCACCCTCACCTGTGGCGAGGTAAGTCCCTCCTTCCCTCACCCTCACCCTTAAGGGAAGCAAGTCCGTCCTTCCCTCACCCTCACCCTTAGAGAGGTAAGTTCCCTCCTTCCCTCACCCTTCATCTGTGGAGAGATAAATCCCTCCTCTCCCCAAGTCCCTGTCAGTCCTCAGCTACTGTTCTCCCCGCATCTACTCCTCCCCATTGCTCTCCTCACCTATTCCCGTCCCTGTAACCCACCCACTCCATCCCTCTACCCTCCACCCCCATCCCCTTCACCCCTCACCCTTCGCCTTCATTGTACAGTAATAAAAATTCAGTAGTTAGTTATTGATCACGTGTAAACACCGTGAACACAGAACACCACTGCTGCCTTTACGAAATAACTTCACCTTCTCAACGTAATTTATGTATATTATTTATTTCCTTTTCTATGACCTTATAGGGGGTTTATCTGCTATGAAAAAAAAACAAGTTAAAAAACACGGAAAACCCGACTTCAACAAATATTTTAAACAATGTAGAAAAATCAGGAACATTCAGGGAAGCCGACCCACCCAAAGCTTAGTATGTCCATTCCTTCACTAAACTCTAATGACTATTCTCTACCTGTGTTTACCTGTCTGTATCTCCAGCACGGGGAAAAAAACATTACATGATTCTAATTAACCTTGGGGTGAGGTGAGTGTCTGATGGGAGGGAGGTGGGCGTCTGATGGGAGGGAGGTGGGCGTCTGGTGGGAGGGAGGTGGGCGTCTGATGGGAGGAGGTGGCGTCTAATGGGAGGAGGTGGGCGACTGGTGGGAGGGAGGTGGGCGACTGGTGGGAGGGAGGTGGGCGACTGATGGGAGGAGGTGGGCGACTGGTGGGAGGAGGTGGGCGTCTGATGGGAGGGAGGTGGGCAGCTGGGTGGGAGGAGGTGGGCGACTGGTGGGAGGAGGTGGGCGACTGATGGGAGGAGGTGGACGTCTAATGGGAGGAGGGAGTGGGCGTTTGTGGTGGGGAGGGGGAGTGGGCGGCTGGTGGGGGGAGGTGGGCGTCTGGTGGGAGGGTGGGCGACTGGTGGGAGGAGGTGGGCGTCTGGTGGGAGGTGGGCGACTGATGGGAGGAGGTGGGCTCTAATGGGAGGGAGGTGGGCGACTGGTGGGAGGGAGGTGGGCGACTGGTGGGAGGAGGGTGGGCGACGCTGGTGGGAGGAAGGTGGAGCGTCTGAGGGTGGGAGGGAGTGGGCACGACTGATGGGAGGGAGGTGGGGGAGAGGTGGGCGTCTGATGGGGGAGGGAGGTGGGCGGCTCGTTAATGAGTACAGTGGCTTATCTTTTCTCACTTTATAACCTTGGGATAAAACCTAAATGGGGAGGTTATGTTGTGGTGGAGGGGTTACCTTGGGGGGGTGGGGGGGGGCTAAAGGGGTTTTCTAGCTACTGCCAAGGGTCCTGCCCCCTCCAACCCCTCTTTGCCTAGTTACATGTAGTGTTGGCAGGGGAAGTTGTAAGCTTATAAATACTATTGTTACTGGGCTGAATTAATGAACTACTACTACTACTGCTACTACTACTACTACTTTTTTTTTTTTTTTTTTTTTTGCACGTGGCCCAGCCTCCCCCAATAGCCACACCTTCGCCACCATTTATTTACCTTAATATTAACTATCCTAATACATAAGCAACTATCCTATCTGTGTTAAATTAGTTGAGCCGCAGATCGATGCGGCATTCGGTGACTGTAGCCTCATAGTCGATATCTGCAGCAGTTGACGGAGTAGGGGCAGAAGCTCTCGTTCCCCTGAGGCAGAGCAAAGCCGACCGAAGGAGAGAGAAGGACAGTCGACATCTCATCCAGGCTGTGACATAACTTCTGGGCTGCTGCTTCTGTTCGGAGATCAGCTCCGCGAGTCTGGCGTAGAAACATCTTGCGCCTGGGCCCATCCCACCAGAGGTTGTGAACACTAGCGGAGTGAAGCTGCCTTGATCGACACTTTGAATTCTCTCCCCATATGCCCTTCTCTTGTCGTTCTCGTTCCTCCTATGTGCAGCATCGAGAGCTAGGTTACGGTGACAAACGGCCATGGGATCAAAAATCCTGATGTCGAAGAAGGCTCGCTGTCCCCGCGTCCAGAATCCTCGAGCACTGACGTCCACACGGGCTTCGTTAGATGTGTTTGAAGTCCTGTGTTGGAGGATCTCGCCATCCAGTGGAAGGAGGGTCTGTTCTACCATGACGTCCCGGCAGGTTTCCTTCAACATATTTGCTGTGAGATCCCTTACCTCGTCATGCCTCATGCATATGAAGCCCCCCTTCTTGCAAACCATGGCGTGATCGCCATCATAGGAATAGCCACACACGCATTGGGAGGGCAAACCATCTACTGGCCAACCGTACCTTAGAGCAATGGCATCTGTAAATTCTTGTTTGTTAAGGCTGAAACCATTTGCTCTTATCGGTAACGTAGTTAACCAGTTCGAGGCGCCCACCTCCTGCGCTATAGCTACTACTACTACTACTACTACTACTACTACTACTACTACTAATTCCCATCACATCAACCACACGCTATTGCTACTACAGTACTATCCACTACCACCACCACCACCTTGCTCCACTATCACCATATTACACCCACTGTTACTGTACAATACCTATTACCCCCTATTTGCAGTACACCTCTAGCGTTGACCTACACTTACTCTAGCGTTGACCTACACTTACTCTAGCGTTGACCTACACTTACTCTAGCGTTGACCTACACTTACTCAAGCGTTGACCTACACTTACTCTAGCGTTGACCTACACTTACTCTAGCGTTGACCTACACTTACTCTAGCGTTGACCTACACTTACTCTAGCGTTGACCTACACTTACTCTAGCGTTGACCTACACTTACTCTAGCGTTGACCTACACTTACTCTAGCGTTGACCTACACTTACTCTAGCGTTGACCTACACTTACTCTAGCGTTGACCTACACTTACTCTAGCGTTGACCTACACTTACTCTAGCATTGACCTACACTTACTCTAGCGTTGACCTACACTTACTCTAGCATTGACCTACACTTACTCTAGCATTGACCTACACTTACTCTAGCGTTGACCATTCAGATTCGAGAGCAGTACGGGATTCAGCGGGTGGAGGCGGCGTTCATGGCTATTGACGAGATCAACGCCAATCAGACCCTGCTGCCCAACATTACCCTCGGCGTGGAGATCCGAGACTCCTGCTGGTATTCCTCGATAGCGTTGGAGCAGAGCATAGGTGAGCCTTAGTCGAGGATGAGTGAAGGTGAGTCTTAGTCGAGGATGAGTGTAGGTGAGTCTTAGTCGAGGATGAGTGAAGGTGAGTCTTAGTCGAGGATGAGTATAGGTGAGTCTTAGTCGAGGATGAGTGTAGGTGAGTCTTAGTCGAGGATGAGTGTAGGTGAGTCTTAGTCGAGGATGAGTATAGGTGAGTCTTAGTCGAGGATGAGTGAAGGTGAGTCATAAGTGGATGGTTAGGATAGAAAGAGTCTTGATGAGTCTTTTGCTCTATATATACTCTATCTGTGTGTGTGTGTGTGTGTGTGTGTGTGTGTGTGTGTGTGTGTGTAGGAGGGTTAGGATAATGGGATAATTGTAGATAGTCACCTGGAACACCTGTGCATTAATGTGTTGTTTGGGTAGACTCTGTAAACCCCGAATACACCTTGTAAACCTATGTATACCTCCCAGTTAAGTCTAGGTATACTCTAGTTAAGTCCAGGTATACTCTAGTTAAGTCCAGGTATACTCTAGTTAAGTCCAGGTATACTCTAGTTAAGTCCAGGTATACTCTAGTTAAGTCCAGGTATACTCTAGTTAAGTCCAGGTATACTCTAGTTAAGTCCAGGTATACTCTAGTTAAGTCCAGGTATACTCTAGTTAAGTCCAGGTATACTCTAGTTAAGTCCAGGTATACTCTAGTTAAGTCCAGGTATATATACTTCAGGAGTTCCAGGTATACCATTCCAGTATATCTTAGTGTACGCTGGCGAAGTAAAGGTGTTCCTCTTCTCCCTCCTTCAGAGTTCATCCGGGACGCCTTGGCTTCTCCCGGAGACAACGCCAACAGGACCCTGACATCTGACGCCTGTAAGTCCGCCTCCACCACCAGCAAGAGACTCGTGGGAGTGGTGGGTCCTGGCTCCTCTGACGTCACCATACAGGTAAGTCGTCCACCTGGTCTTGTCACATTCACTTACATGGTTCTTCTGATCTGGTAACGGCAATGCCAAGTTGACTAGTTTATGTGCTTGCAGGTGTGTCTCTCCTACAGGTGTCTATTTCTATCTCTTTTCCTTACAGGTGTTTCTTTCCATCTCCCCTACAGGTACAGAACTTACTACAGCTGTTCAGGATCCCGCAGGTGGGTTACTCAGCCACTTCGCGAGACCTGAGTGACAAGTCTCGCTTCTCGTACTTCATGCGGGTGGTGCCCTCTGACTACTACCAGGCCCAGGTCATGGTGGACATCGTCAGGCACTACAACTGGACCTACGTCTCCGCCGTCCACACTGATGGTGAGACAGTCCTCCTGGGTCAGTGAGAGAGAGAGGGGGGGGCAGAGGACGAGAAGGAAGAGTAGGATAGAGATGCAAAGGGAAAGAATGGGGTATGGAGAGAGAGAGAGAGAGAGAGAGAGAGAGAGAGAGAGAGAGAGAGAGAGAGAGAGAGAGAGATCTTAAGGTGTGTTTACAAACTAATTTGGACAAGGTATATTTCAAGATGTTTTTACAAGCTAATGTTTATAAGCTAATGTTTACAGGCAACTACGGACAGAGCGGCATAACAGCCTTCAGGGAGTTGGCAGAGAAGAACAACATCTGTATAGCCAAGGAAGACTCGGTCCTGAGTAACGCCGAGGACGAGGCCTTTGATATGGTGAGTCGAGGAGAGGGAGAGGGAGAGGGGAAAGAGAGAGGGAGAAAGGAAAGAGAGAGGAAGAAGGGAAAGAGATAGGGAAAAGGCTTACAGAGTTGAAGATGGGAAGAGAGAGAGGAGAGGAAACGAAAAAAAAACAAAAACATTGGGTTCTACCGTTTGTTATGTGAATAGAAAGAGAGAGAGAGAGAGGGGGGGCACGGGGGAGAAAAGGAGAGAAACTGCAGGGATTTTATTAAACACGATGAATGAGTCCTTCATTTGGGTGAGTGGAGGGAGAAGGAGGAAGAATAAAATAAAAAGGGAAGGAGGAAGGATGGAGGTGGATAGGAAGGGGGAGAGAGAGAGAGAGAGAGAGAAGGAGGAGGATGGAAACAAAAGAGAGAGAGAGAGAGAGACGGAGGGAGGATAGGAAAAAGGAGAAGGAGGGATAGAGTAAATTGAACAAGAACCATAAATGAGAGGGGTGGGGGGGCAGTGTGTGTGGCTGAGTGTTTGTTTGTGTGTGCTTAACGTAGCGAAAGACTCTTAACAAAACATTATGAACTCCTCAAGTAGAAGGAAGGCGCCGTGCAGGAGTGAAAAGGAAGGAAGGAAGGAAGGAAGGAAGAGTGGGGAGTAAGGGAGGTGTAGGAGGGAAGGGAGTGGAAGAGGCAAGGAGTAGAGAGGAGATGAAGGAATGGGAGGACGATGATGACTAGAGGAAAAGGAGTGGAAGAAGGAGGGTAAGGTAGAAGAGAAGAAGAGGACAAGAGGAGAGGAAAAGGAATGAAACGAGGAAGAGAAAGAGAAGACTAAGACGACGATGAGAGATGAAAGAAAGAGGAAGAGGAGGAAGTGATAATTTAGTAAATATTAAAGTAGGTTGATGGAAACAGACGGATGGACAAATAGACAGACAGACAGACAAACAGACACCAAGGGGCAGGGGACTGGGGATAGATAAACAGACCTAGACAATCATAAGAAAATCCTGACACACTGATTCAGAGAGAGAGAGAGAGAGAGAGAGAGAGAGAGAGAGAGAGAGAGAGAGAGAGAGAGAGAGAGAGAGAGAGAGAGAGAGAGAGAGAGAGAGAGAGAGAGAGAGAGAGAGAGAGAGAGAGAGAGAGAGAGAGAGAGATTACTACTATGAGAATAAATTCCCTACTAATGAGGAGCTTGAGTGAGAGAGTAGAGGGAGGGTGAATAGGAACATTAGGAGGTGGTACTTGCGGTAAATGGTAAAGATGTTTAATTCAAGTAGCGACTCGAGTTTACAAGCTGGAGAACCTTTAGTTTATGGACTCCAGGACCTTGAGTTTACATGGTTAAGGACCTCTAGTTTACAGGATGTAGAAATTTTAGTTTACAAGCTGTAGTTTACATGTTGCCTCATGTATACAGGTAAGCCACTGTCGCGGTATTACTCCCCTTAGGAATTTATTTGATAATATATTATATATTCACAAGTTTACCCAACGTGATTACATTTGCATAACAATATGGAAAACTAAATTAATTTTACCACAAAAGAAAATTTGTGTTTTGTTAAAAGAGTTATAATGTATAAACCTGTGTGTGTGCGTGCGTGCGTGCGTGTGTGTGTGTGTGTGTGTGTGTGTGTGTGTGTGTGTGTGTGTGTGTGTGTGTGTGTGTGTGTGTGTGTGTGTGTGTGTGTGTGTGCGTGTGTGTGTGTGCGTGTGTTTTAACGTGACAAAGGGCCCTATTTGGCCTTCTTCTACTGGTGATCTTACGTGTCTAATATAAGTCTAAAAAGGTTCCTCCCCCCTGCAGGTGATCCACCAGCTGCGTGAGGACCAGCGAGCCAATGTGGTGGTGTGTTTCTGTGAGGGGATGACGGTGAGGAACCTCCTTCTGGCCGCCCAGAGGAACAACGTCACCTCTAGGTTCCTCTTTATCGGCAGGTGGGTCTTAATGCTACCACCTAGAGCTTGTGAGAGAGAGAGAGAGAGAGAGAGAGAGAGAGAGAGATTACACTGACTTAGACACAAAAACAAACGTGACCTCCTCCTCCTCCAAGTCTTCGTCAGGTAGGTCTTGCTGTACCATTGAAGGCATAAGTGACGTCTTCCATAACATAGCACTTAAGAAGATGCGGGGAAAAAGTAAGTTTTAAGTGAGTGTTTGGATACTCTTATTGCGGATCGGAACTTATGTAAGTGAATCTTAAGAAGTTATATTGAGGAGTGGGAGAGGGTGAAGTGATGGACGGCTCTTAATGGATAGTTCCGACGTCCTCACACACACACACACACACACACACACACACACACACACACACATAAATATATATATATATATATATATATATATATATATATATATATATATATATATATATATATATATATATATATATATATATATATATATATATATATATATATATATATATACTCTCGACGCAGGACACATTGCTACATCTTGTTCTCTCTCTTTTTTACACTCTTTCATCTTCTTTCCTTCCTTCCTTCCTTTCGTATCATCATCCTCTGGTTCTTTCTGCTTTTCTCCTCTCTCTGCCAGCTCACCCTCCACCCACCCATTCTCATGTCTGAACCCTCACCTTCTACCATCATCCCCCCACCCACCCATCTGCCACATACCAGCTAGAAAAAAGGGCCTTCCTTCTCAGCCTACCTGCCGTATTTTGGGTGCGTTATTTAGCTAGATATTTGTTTGTCTTGGCTGACTGATTGACTAACCTAACCTAACCTTACCGCTGTCACCCACCATCACCACCACTACTTACCATCTGCACCATCGCACCCGCCCATCCACTACCACCCATCATTATCACCACCATTATCAACATCACCTTCGTCAATTATTATCATCATCATCATCCGTCATCTTTCACTATCATCACCATCACCACAGTACAGTAAAGCCAGTCAGAGGAAGAGCTATAAAGACATTGGAGGTGATCCACTCTTCCTGTACACAGTCTAACTCGACCATTCTCAACCCAACCTGGAGAGGAAGTTCATTAAGGACAGGTAAATTTATATTCCTTTAAGATACAGTAGTTGTAAGTAGTACACAGGTGCTAAGGGTCAAGCTCTGATGTTTGAAGGGGTGTATATGTTGCTGGCTGGCTTAAGTGGAGGTACACCCACTAAAAATTATTCGGCACCCGTGTCATATTGTATCACGCCATAAGGGTGCCTAATAATTTTTAGTGGGGTGTACTTAGAGGTGTGACAGTGAAGTACAGATTTGAAAGTCTAATTTGAGAGAGAGACAGAGAGATCCTATAGTAGAGGTGAGCTTGTAGTGGATTTCTCCCCTACAAACGCTGTTTGTCGCTGAGTAGCCGACCCCGCGAATTCCCCAGTGTATGCCTCGTGGTCTGGGTCAACCAGCGCCGCCATACACCACGGAGGTCAACTACTAAGCCACGCCTACCCCCGCTATTTAAGACCTGACCTCGTGGTGCCCTCCCTCTTCTTCTAGCTAAAGCCGCAGCTAAAGCCTGGCGGCCCTCGCTCCCGCCGGCGAGCATGGCGACCCACAAGCTGGTCCTCTGAGCACCCTCACCAACCAGCTCCCTCTACATCACGCTTGTAACCACGCTGCCACTTCCCAGCACCACGCTGCATTGTACATCCAATACAATATGTATACAGAGAGCACATTGTGAGTTTCCTTTCTCCATCCCATCCTGAGTGTGAACCCAAACATCACATACCCCACAAGCTGTTTAGATATGTGTGTGTGTGTGTAGAAGGAGATAAAGTGAGATATAGGATCGCCTGAGGAAAATGTGAAACAGAAAGTAATGGTCAAAAGAAATGAGGGAAGGGATTATTAGGCTGTTGGGGCATGTGGAGGGGACAAAATAAAGTAGTGTCATTATGTCCCCATTAACTTATGGTCTCTCTGTTCCCTGGTGTGTGCACAGCGACGGGTGGGCCGACCGTTCGGATGTGGTGGCGGGGCTGGAGGAGGCGGCGGTGGGTGGACTCTCCGTCAAGATCACCAGCTCCTCTGTGGGAGAGTTCGACGACCACTACTTCCAGCTGGATCCCGATAACAACAAACGCAACCCGTGGTTCAAGGAGTTTTGGCAGATGAGATTCAACTGTTCTCTGCCAGGCCACGAGGAGATTGTCTCCCTCCCTCCATGCTCTGGTGAGTACCTCCTCCACCTCCCCGTCACTAGTTCTCCTCAACAATCTTCAACCGTCCATATAGTTTTGGTTTTAGTCGCCTCTAATATTACTTCGGTGTAGAGTATCACTTCTTTCCTATCTGCAACACACCTCACCATCTGTCTTTAACCACAAACCCTACCACATCCCTCTACCACACACGACTATCATGCCACAAACCACATATAATACCACACCCCTCTACCACACACTACACTTCGACCCCTCTACCACACACTACACTACCACGCCTCTACCACACACTACACTACCACGTCTCTACCACACACTACACTACCACGTCTCTACCACACACTACACTTCCACGTCTCTACCACACACTACACTTCCTCTACCACACACTACACTTCCACCCCTCTACCACACTACCACGCCTCTACACACACACCACACTACCACCACCACACTACACTACCACGTCTCTACCACCACACACTCACACTCCACGTCTCTACCACACACTACACTTCCCCACCACACACCACACTCTCCATGCATCTACCACACACCACACCTCCACGTCTCTACCCACACACCACACCACACTTCCCTCTACCACACACTTCTACACTCCACGTCCACCACACACCTACACCTCCACGTCTCTACCACACACTACACTCAATGTCCTACCACACACTACACCCACGTCCTTACCACACCACACCCACGTACCACACACCCACCTTACACTTCCTCTACACACACTACACCCGTCCCCACCACACACCACACTTCACTCCACACACACTACACTTCCTCTACCACACACTACACTTCCTCTACCACACACTACACTTCCACGTCTCTACCACACACTACACTTCCACCCCTCTCCCACACACCACACTCCTACCGCTCTTCCAAAAACCTCTTTAAATTTCCAGTTTTTTGTCCAAAAGAATTTCGGACCTTCTTTCAAATTTTCACACCACCTCGAGGAAGCTACCCCCCCCCCCTCTGTACTTGCTTGATCATCTGTAATACCGCCTGCCCCACTACCACCTGCCCAACTACCACCTACATCATTACCACCTGCTTCATCATCACCTACATCACTACCACCTGCCCCACTACCACCTACTTCACTACCACCTGCCCCACTGCCACCTGCTTCACTACCACCTCCATCACTACCACCTGCCCTACTACCACCTACATCACTACCACCTGCATCACCACCACCTGCCTTATGCCACCTACTTCACCACTTGCCTCACCACCACCTGGCCAGTTATCTATATGTGATAATACCGATTACTGTGCTTAGATAACCTATGTATGGAACCTGTGTGCTGCATGACCTGACCACCACCTTGGGACACCTCACTGCAGGTATGGAGTCACTCCGCGACAGATATAAGCAGGACACCAAGATGGCCTTTGTGATGAAGGCCATCTACACTATGGCGTGGGGCCTCCACAACATGCAGCGGGACCTGTGCCCCTTCTCCCAGGGGCTCTGTGAGTCTATGCTCCCTATCAACGGCTCACTATACAGGGTCAGTCCATATTTACCCAGTCATGTATTCTTTCTTCTCTCTTCTTGTGGTTAATCTGTTTCATCTCCATTGTTGTATTTTTTTTATGTATTTCTATATCATTTTATACGGTTTTTGGTTGTTTTATGAATTTTACAAGTGTCCTGTGGTGGGACAATGCCAGCTGTAGGACACTGAAGCCTTTTTAGCCACTCTCAATACCATAAACTTCTATCTATTGATATCAGTGTGCTTTAGTTTCATTCTTTATTATGTACAGTATATGCTATAATGAATTTCCCAGTTTGTTTACTTAATTCTTCTATAACAAATGAGTTAAGGTACAAACCCCAAAAACATGTCACCAGCTGGTTGACAGGTGTTTCTTGTTAGGTGGGGAAGGTAATTATCATAATATTATTTATATACAGTATTTGTTTCTAAGGAGTGACAAGAAACTTGCCGCATATACCCGCAGTATGTAATAATAATAATAATAATAATTAACGGTTTATTGAAAGAGCTTGGCAGCCAGAAGGCTGAAAATATACAGTTACACATTTGGGGAATGGGTTTCGAATTACAAATAATATACAAGTAACATAAGTGATACAAATAAGATATATAATAACTAGATGGGGAAAAGCTCAAACTACAGTGCATTTCAAATAGTGACAGTGCAAGAAGTAGTGTTTACTGGGAGTGAATACACTGGTTTATTACAAGTTATTGATAATTTTACAATGGTTGGGACTGGGCTGTTCTAAAAGCGATCAGTTCGTGCACGTATGGGCTGGATGCGGTTGTGGTGTCGAACAGCAATTCTCGGGCTAGGAATCTCAGGTGGTAGTAGGAGCCGGTGTCGAGGATGGTGTAGAAGCTTCTTACCAAATTTGCAGATGAGGTCGTGGTGATGGTCAGTGAGAGTCGAAAGGGTCAGTGTGTTGAGCGCTTCTTGATATGTGGAGTAGGAAGGGGAGAGAATAATCTTGCATGCCCTCTTTTGCACTTTTTCTAGGTGTTTATGTTGTGTGGCATTTAGGGAGGAAGACCAGGTGGGGGAGGCATAGGTGAGCTTGGGAAGTATGAATGTTGTGTAAACACTGAGGAGCTCGTGTGCAGGAACTCCGAGGGACTTGAGTCGGCGGAGGAGGTGGAGACGGAAACTGGAGGATTTGACAACTTCACTGACGTGTGGTTTCCAATTTAGTTTGTTGTCTATGGTGACGCCGAGGAGCTTCGTGGAATCTACAACCTGGAGTGTGTTCGGACCTAGAGTAATGGAAGGAGGTGGGACAATGTCGGAGGAGAGGTTGATGTGCATAACCATGGTCTTGGTATGGTTGATGGTGACATGGTTGTTGGTGGCCCAGTTTTGGAGACTGTTCAATAAATCCTGAAGGGCGGTATAGTTGGGAGCAGAATTGTTGACGCTGATCCCAATGGTGGAGTCGTCGACATATTTCCAGCAAGCAGGGGTTTCTCTTAGGGCATCATTGATGAGCATAAGGAAGCAGAGTGGTCCCATCTTGGTGCCTTGGGGACGCCACAGGTGAGTGACTGAAAGGTGGAGACAGCCCCTCGGAAGCGTACAGCTTGGCGTCGGTCACTGAGGAAGTCTGTAAGCCATGGTATAAGACTTCTCCGAAGCCCGAGGTCAATAGCTTTGTTGACGATTATATTGTGGTCGACTAGGTCGAATGCTTTAGTGAAATCAATGAAGGCGACAGCTACAGACGTTTTTCGTTTCTCGAGATGGCGGTATATGTAATCGAGAAAGCTGACAAGACAGTGAGTGGTGGAGGAAGTTTTCATATTGCCAAATTGCTGAGGGTCTACGACTCCTGCAATATCAGCATAAGCCCAGTCGAACACAAAACTTTGTGTGTGTATGTGTGTGTGTAATTCTGAGTCTTGAGCAGATTTTCATTCTTACATCTAAGTCATTATGTTGCATCTTGCAGGATTACCTGGTGAACGTAACCTTCTCCTACATGGGGGAGTTAGTGACGTTTGACTCCAGAGGTGACCCACCAGGAAGGTACTGTACAGTAGACAGTAATCCACACCCATCTCTTGCCTGTTTGGTTGTATTCATTTCCATTAAAGACACATCCAGTGATCTATTTTCTCTTTATATTGTATAGTGTACCAGTATTTTACTCTCATGTATATTAATTTAACTAGAATTTACCAATTGTTATGAGTGAGTAGCTTGGTCTGTGTGGTACCAGGCTCTTATAATGTACAGTACTCTCTCTATACAAACCTTCTATGAACACCTACCCTGCTACCTGTATCACAGACTGGCTTTTCAGGTATGACATTATGAATTATCAGCGGCTGAAGAATGGTAGCTTTGACTATGTTCGCGTGGGGACGTGGGATAATGGTACTCTGGTAGTGCACGAAGAACGGGTTGTCTTCAACAGCTCTGATGGCCTTCCTCCCACCTCTGTCTGCTCTGAGCCCTGCAGCTATAATGAGTACAAGGCTAGTCCACATTAGTTTGACTACTGCTGAATTATACAGTTCTGTTTTTTTTTTGTATCTTGCATTTTGTATGAGACCAGTTTCATATCCAGGATTACTCATAGTCTTCAACTGCTTTGTTATGACAAGGGGTAAACTTCAAGATAAGTTAGACCGGGCCGGCATTTATAAAACCTTTAAGAGCTAAAAGTTCCTCTCAGAGTTGAAAATTTACTCCTACTGTTAGGATTTGTTCTGAGAGAGCATAGTCTGAGGTCAACTTTCAGTGTTAGTTTTAAATTCAATCCTGACAGTGAGGTCAGCTAGGATCAACCTTCTAGTGTGTCACGAACACTTGTCAACTAAGATCATTATCAAAGGGACCGACAAAGTCTTGCTGGGCCCAATATCCCCGCCCCTGACTGAGACCTGACAGTGAGGTCAAAATCAACACTTGTCAGCTCAGGTTATCATCATTCCCTTCTCTAAGATGTGACAGCTAGTGACATCGGGGTCAAACTGCTTCTGGTCACAAGGGTTGACACGGTAGTGTTCTTTATGCTGGTGTCATGGCAGTCCCAGCAACTCACTTCAGTTTTGGGAGACACATCATAGTTAGGGTGTGACCGTTGCCCTCCAAAAATAAAAAAATGGTCCTACAATGCTGTTCAAAGTTTTAGTGTTGTGTATGTATCTAGGAAACACCCCTGTAAATTTTCTTGGAGATCGGTGCATGTTTGAGCTAGCACCGTCGGCTTTACAAAATAACAAGGAATATTATTATCTAATGAACAAATTTAGTGGAATTTCTTTTATTAGACTTATAAGATATACTAACACCAAGCAAATGATCGATCATATCAATATTAATACCTCTAAAGCAATATTATAGATTAGTACGAAATACAATAATTCCAATACAGTCAGTTCTGCTACAACGCGATAGTTGTGTTCTTGTAAAACATCGTGTTATAGAAATTCGCGTAATAGAAATAACAGGGCTTATGGAGAAAATAGGGTTAGGTGCAGATTACTACTCGAAATTGAAAAAAATTTAGTAGTTAGCCTAACACAAAGGATAGCACAGTCTAGATAAATGTTACATTCATATCTAATAATGAAATCATACAGTAAATGTAACACTACCTTGAAAAAATATGAATATAACTTGATGGGGGAGAAGGGTGATTTTGAGGTAGATAACATCGAGCTTCTCTTCAAGGGTTATAGCCTTTCTTTTACGATCATCACCGGGAATGCGATCACCAGAATGCTTCTTGGAGATATTCTTCTTTACCATATTCACAGTTAATACCACAAAATTGGAGAAATAGTAAGTAAAAATCGCGTTACAGCAAACAAGCGTTCGCGTTATACAAATATTGTTTTTCTATTCATAAATCACATTAGAGCCAATTCGCGTTGTCAAAACACGCGTTATAGCAGAACTCACTGTAATTACATTTCTAGGTTCGAGACCCATTTCTCTCAACTGGCGTACAATGAAAAAAAGAAATACTACTACCCCGCAATGCCTGGAGTGTTTGAGGAGCGCCAGCAGGAGATGGCTGACTTCTTCCGTGAATCTCTTGCCCAACCATTTACACGTGGCGACTACAAGGAGCTGGTAGAGCTTTGTCTGCTGCTTGTAACTAAAGGATCCGAGCCAGTGAACTTCACGATGGTCTACCCCGGCTCACTTCACAAAGCAAGGTGGATGGCTAAACTGCTCTATACCCTCAAGATTGTTCTTTTGTCAGGCCAGATCAAAGAGCAGTTTCCTAAAGCCGAGGTTGTGACTAAAAGTCAAATCAGCAATTTAGAACGGTTTGCTGTGTTCACAGTCGCTGTTTGTGTCCCTTGGTGGATTGTTTGCTGCGTTCCAGCAAGTGCGCCGCTGAATGACTTGAATTTGGTCGAAACCTTGGCTGAATTTGCCCCATATGACGCCACAATAGATGACAAAGCACGTGTGGCACTCAGTAGACGCACTTGGTACCTAACTGAGGAGTTGGCCCCACTGGCTTTGTTCTCGTCTGAAGTACAAGAAAGGACAAGAGAGGAGATGAGGAAGGCCCTTCTTTGCCATGAAGGCACTGAAGTTACTAAGAGAGTGGGGCTCAATCATGGGGGCTATGGAAACCCAATCTTCCCCCTGTCCCAGAAAGTGGCACTGCCCTGGTGGACCTAATTGGGCCTGACTCAAGCCGGTTCTTCACCATTTTAGGCATGCCCTATCAGTTTTTCCACAGTCCAGCCAGTGAATGGGTGGATCATGACAACTACTTGAACATGAAACGGGTTGAGGACAAGCTTCAGGTCGTCAATGAGGCTGCAGAGCGTGGTGTAAAACTTTGTCATCACTTTCTTAATGTTGCCAGGGATGAGGAGCGCTTTCAAGAAGTCCTTCAAGTAGTTGAAAATGACAGACTCCGCGTTCCTAATCAGCGCAAACGATCATCTGTTTCCGAACAGAAATCATGGTTTCTTGCTCTAGAGAAATAATACCTTGTGAATATATGATAAAACCCCTTAATGTACCATGAGAGAATAAGATTGATTAACTTTTTTGTGTTAGTGATAACAGCTTTTAATTAAGACAGGCAAATGATTTGTGTTAATATCACTTATGATGGTTGTGTAATCTCATGTATAGGCGCATATGCCATATAAGCAAAATCGCTATTTTTCAAATTGCTGGTGCTCACTCAAATATGCATGAATCTTCAAAAAATTGCACTTGGGTATTTTTTATGTCAATATGCAACACCAAAATTTTGAACAGCATTGTAGGACAAAGTTGGGGGCAACTGTCACACCCTAATCATAGTGTGAACTTGTGGACTTAATTCCTTGGAAGAATTCACATTATAAGGTAAGAAGAAACATTCAAACTAATTCTGTGAAAAGCATTATGCTTTCTAAAATGATGTAAAAGAGGTACAGTATTTTGTTGTGAGGTGTATTTCTACAAGTCTTAGAAGTCATTCCCCCCTTCTTTCACAACAAATCTATGCACCGAATGTGAAGTGAACTCATATAAGAGCAGACTTAACCAATACTGGCTCAGGTTCAGGTACATTCTGGGCCAGTGCATGCCCAGCACCCAAAATGAAGGTTAAATTGTTATTCGAATCTCAAGTTGTAAATGAACAGAGGAGAGTGATGTGGCACTTTGAGTTTGTTTGTCTTCTACTTTAAATGACAATTTCTGTCTAAGAGAATCCTCTAAGAGCTCTGGTTGCAGAGAAAATTTAACTAATCTTTTGAGAAGACCCAACTGCTCTTTAAGGAGGTTTAATAGGTTTCGCCCCCATAAACTTAACTGGTTGTACTATATAATGGGAGTCACTCTGGTAGGTCAGGCTGTATATACTTTAATGTGTGAATTTTTAACCTTATACTATGCACTTTATTAATGTTCACTAGAATATTTCTTTTAATCACAACATTATTCTTTGATGAAAATTAAGAAATAAAGGAGCCCCAGAAATAGCATGAACTAATTATAATGTATCATTATACATAATCAAGAACTCATAATTGTATTGACTGTATATGCTCTCATACCTCCAGAGCTTTGTTGAGTCTGGAGATGAAAAATGCTGCTGGATATGTACTCTATGTGACAAGGATGAGTACCTCATGAATGAGACCACATGTCAGCGGTGCACTCCTGGCTATTGGCCCAACACTAACAAGACTGGTGAGCTTCAAGAGAGATTCATTTATATAAGTGTCATAAATACTGTACTATACTGGCAAAGTTTCATGAATAAATAAGGTCCATTAAAACTGTACCAGAAACCTTTAGGTAAAGTTTATGCTTTATATCAGTGTAGCAATAATGTAAGAGTTTGTTTATTATTATGTATGTATGCTTTAGGGTACAGATGTGGAAATGTATTCCTATCGCCCTGTGGTAACCCGTGTCTCCAAACGGCCAACCTACAGTATATGCTCTATAGCAAACCTATCCACCAATCACATCCGTCGTTACACGGCCAATACCCATTCATTCACAAACAGTGATACTACTAATGCATTGTTACCGTTTGGAGACACAGGTAACCACAGGAGGCGTAGAAACATTTCCACAACTATACCATCGGTAAAGAGGATACACAGGTACTCTATCTTACCTGTTTAAATGTTTAAATAAATAACATATTTATCCATACCTTTTCCATTCAAATCCATGTACATATCCACACTGAGAATATAATCATCTTAATCTGTTTTTTTTTACACTTTCAAAACTTCCTGATTATTACAGGTGATTTAAATGTCTCGTGTATATATATATATATATATATATATATATATATATATATATATATATATATATATATATATATATATATATATATATATATATATATATATATATATATATATATATATATATATATACACACATACAGTATATATATATATAATATATATATATATATATATATATACATACAGTCAGTTCTGCTATAACGCGATAGTTGTGTTCTTGTAAAACATCGTGTTATAGAAATTCGCGTAATAGAAATAACAGGGCTTATGGAGAAAATAGGGTTAGGTGCAGAATACCACTCGAAATCGAAAAAAATTTAGTAGTTAGCCTAACACAAAGGTTAGCACAGTCTAAATAAATGTTACATTCATATCTAATAATGAAATCATACAGTAAATGTAACACTTTACCTTGAAAAAATATGAATATAACTTGATGGGGGAGAAGGGTGATTTTGAGGTTGATAACATCGAGCTTCTCTTCAAGGGTTATAGCCTTTCTTTTACGATCATCACCGGGAATGCAATCACCAGAACGCTTCTTGGAGATATTCTTCTTTACCATATTCACAGTTAATACCACAAAATTGGAGAAAGAGTAAGCAAACATCGCGTTACAGCAAACAAGCGTTCGCGTTATACAAATATCGTTCCTCTATTCATAAATCGTGTTAGAGCCAATTCGCATTGTCAAAACACGCGTTATAGCAGAACTCACTGGTATATATATATATATATATATATATATATATATATATATATATATATATATATATATATATATATATATATATATATATATATATATATATATATATATATATATATATATATATATATATATATATATATATATATATATATATATATATATATATATATATATATATATATATATATATATATATCTATAAATGTTGTTTTTCAGGCTGTGATGCAATCCCAGTAAAGTACATCATGTGGGACGACGCAGAGTCCATTGTAGCCCTTAGTTTGGCCTCGCTGGGCTTCCTGGCCACTAGCTTCACAATGCTTGTGTTCATCAGATACAACCATACACCTGTAGTTAAGGTTGGCTACCCTTCCTTACATTATATATTGCAGTACCATCTTGCAGGGTGTGCCACTCCCATGTTTTTATTCTCAATAACCATTGAAATTCTCCTTCTCAAGTTGATACCTTCTGTTTGTAATGAAAAGTTTTAGTCATATATTTCACTTCCCTTTATACCATTTTTCATTGGATGCTTAATGACTTATTCATCAGAACATATTATAAAATTGAGTTTTTAAATCACTCATCTCAAACACTTGTGTTGTGCTACCTTGCATCTGTTGGGAGGCTGCAGTTTTGAGTTGAAAATTTGACAAATAATTAAAACAAAAAATAATAAGGGAAGTTAAACCTAATAGTAATTTTAAAAAATGGTTTCGGTACTCAAAACATAAAACAAGGCCCATCAGTATACAGTATCAATCAATCAGCATACCATCCTCATATCTGACGGTTGGCAACCACAGTGATATAATGAAAAGTACTGTACAGTGTACACTATATACTATTGAGGAAATACAGATGTTCACAAATACAAATGAATGATACACATGCAGTATACTGCGTACTGTCTAAAGATTTGAAAATGTTACATACTATATTTTTTGATACTGGAAATAGTTTTGTAATTAGTTGAACTAGTAGAGATAATGCTATAATACATACACAGTCCCCACAAAAACGTATCTTTACTTTTCCATCTTTACTTCTACTTTTATCCTCTTCGCCACTGATCGGCTTGTTAGCCGCTTGGGCGATCGGTCACGTCTCTGATTACTTTTCCTTATTCATTTATCTTCTTCACCAAAAGATCGGCTCGCTAGCCGCCCGGGCAATCGGTCACGTCTCTGTCATGCACTGTTGGCAAATACTGGGCATGCACCGGCTCCTGAATGTACCTGAACCCGCTCCAGTGTTGGTCAAGTCTTGTCTTGCAAGAGCTCACACTCGGTACCGTCACAACACTCTCTGGTAGATTGTTCCAAGAGTTTACAACCCTCACTCCGAAAAAGTTTGCCCTCACGGTTTTCTGGACTTGCGGCTTCTTCAATCTTGAGCCGTGACCCCTTGTGGGGCGAGCGTCCGCCAGCTCCAAGTAAGGACACTCAACTAAGTAGTGCCCCCTGAGATGCTTATACACCTCAACTAGGTCCCCCCTTGCCCGTCTGTAGTATAAGCTAGGTAAGTTCAGGCGCACTTCAATCTCTCAGGGTAGCTGAGGTGCCGAAGTGCAGGCACCAGTTTGGTGGCCCTCCTGGTGGCCCTCCTTTGAACATTTTCAACCAACTGACAGTCCCTAGCATATCTCGGGGACCAGATGGGGTGACAGTACTCCAGATGGGGAAGCACTTCACTCCTGAAGATCGCTACAAGGGACGGACCCTCTAGATATCTGAACGACCTTCTTATAAGACCCAATAATTTATTTGCCTGATTTACCTTCTTCTCGCAATGGCCCGAGAACTTCAGCTCATTGTCAACATACACACCTACAGGTCCTTCTCACACACAGTCTCAACTAGTACAGTTTCTTCATCCCGTTGGGACATACGATACGCCTCCTTACCGTTGGTATGCCCCAGGTGCATCCTCTTACACTTTCTGACATTGAATCTCACCAGCCATTTCTTTGACCATTCCTGGTGCCCACAGAGGTCCTTTTGCAGTTCTTCACAGTCCGCTTGGTTCTTAATTTCCTGAAATAACTTGGCGTCATCGGCAAACATTTGTATGGAGGAGTGTACAACATCAGGCATGTCATTTATGAAACAAACAAGCAACAGTGGGCCCAATACACTACCCTGTGGTACCCCACTTGTGACAGGTACAGATGACGATTTCGTGCCATTAATCACCACACACTGCTTGTGGTCATGTAGAAAGTCTTCTATCCACGCTAGGACATTTCCCCGAATTCCATACCCTTCCAGTTTGATTTTCAGCCTTTCGTGGGGTACACTGTCGAAAGCCGTGGCAAAATCTAGGTAAATATTGTCGATATTACCACTCCGTTCCAGAATATGGGTCCAAATATCCAATACCTTGAGCAATTGTGTTAAGCAGGAGCGCCCCGGCATAAAACCGTGTTGGCAATCTTTTACAAGGTTGTTTCGTATTAGATGTTCCATTGCGGCATCTCTGATAATACTCTCAAGTACTTTACATATTATGCTGGTCAGGCTCACCGGTCTATGGTTGTTCGTGGAGTGACGATCGCCCTTCTTGAAGATAGGACTCACATAAGCCTCTTTCCATTCACTGGGGACCATTTGTTCATCCAGGCATTTACAAAACAGGACCTTCAGGGGCTCTGCAAACTCGTTGCACACCTCTCTTAGCACTCTAGGATGCACCATGTCAGGTCCGGGACTCGTATGGACCTTTAGCCTGGACAGTTTATTTCTAATACCCTCTTCTGTGAACACAATGTGGGTCAGTGCTGTGTCGAACTGTCTGTCCTCAAATGCAGGAAGGTTAGTTGCATCCTCTCTTGTGAACACCGAGGAAAAGAAGCTGTTCAATGCCTCAGTTTTATCCTGGTCAGAATCTGCGTAACTACCATCCACCAGCCTCAGGTCTGATACTCCTACTCGCGTTTTCAATTTCGACTTTGCATAGCGATAAAACGCCTTTGGGTTTGACTAGACCTCGCTTGCAACCAGCCTCTGGAACGCCTTTTCAGCCCTCCTACACTCTATCTTTGCTTGGTTTCTGGCTCTTGCATACATCCTCCTGTCTTGCTCATCATTTGACCCAACCCACGTCTTGAATTTCTGGGTTTTCTTCTAAATTTTGTCGACTGCCGCATGGTTCATGTGTAGGGATCCCCTCATATTCCTAGAAGCACTGGGTTTGGTCTTGGGTATATATTTATCAATCAAATGGGTCATTTTACTAGTTATGATATTCAGCGTAGTGTCTGCGTTCTTGTACCTTAATAAGTCAGGCCAGTTAATACCCCTCATCTCTTCCCTCATTCCATTGTAATTTCCCTTGTAATATTTGCACCTTGGCCTGGCCTTATCCTGAACTGGGTAACAGTTAAGTCTGAATGACAACACTATATGGTGACTGGTGCCAACTGGGGCAAGGTGTTCCAGTTTGGCCACCATACCCTCTTCGTTTGTTATGATGAGGTCAAGTGGCTTGGGTGTTTGCTCCCCTCTGTAATGTGTCGGGTCTCTAACATGTTGGAACAGAAAATTATCTCTCAGAGTTTCTACAAAAAGAGTAGCAGGATTATTCAAGTCATTCGGGGTGGACTCGTTTCTCCAGTCGATGTCGCTATAGTTAAAGTCCCCCATGATAAGGAGGTGGCTAGGGTTGAACATCGCTGCATCGTTTATTAAGGTTTTTAAGTTCCTTTGATTTAGTGGGCCACAGTTTGGGGATCTGTAGACACACCCGACGATAAGTAAGCCCCCTCCCTTTAATTTAATTTTACACCACTTGGACTCTTCAAAAACATTCTCTCCCTGTACCCTCGCCTGGCTGGCTCTAAGGTCTTGCCTAGCGTAGATAACCACAGCCCTCTTGCAAGTTTCTTGAGAAAAGTTCGTAAATGAGTCATATCCAGCAATACTGAACTCACATTCCTCTGGGTCGATTCTCCTGTTCTTGTACAACAGTTCTACAACACTTACAATATCTGGTTGGTGTACTCTTAGTAGTGTTTCAAACTCCTCTCTCTTATCAAGGAACGTGTCAGTATTAGTGTACATGACATTCAAGCCAGAATTTGTTCTCGGTAACGTCTCTGCTCTTAGTAGTAAACCCGCTCCCCCCCCATTCTCAAAAGCTGCAGCATTTGCTAAGTACACTGTATTTTGCAGGGTGTGGTTAGAAATGTCATTGTTTACACGGCGCTCGCCTCCTCCTGTCCGGTAGGCTGAGCTGGTGCCACCTCCCGGGTTGGGGTTGAGTAGGTGGTGGGTGCACTGCTGCCCCCTGGCCCTGTATCGGCACACTTGTTTCCATTACCCTCCCCCTGAGTATAACCCATGTACACCTGTCCCCGTTCCTCCTCGACCCCTCCCTCTTCTGCTTCAAGTCCTGCAGGAACTTCTTGTGCTGTTCCCTCTGCATTATCGTGCGATCTGGGTGAATGAATACATCCCGAAATGCCTCGCTCCTTGCTAAGTTTTTTGCCTGCCGAATAACCTGCCATTTCTCCTCACTCACTAGTGTGATCCTGAGGGGGCGAGGCTTAGCCCCCTGCTTTTGTCCCAGCCTCCTCACATCCTGAGGGGTTGATGGAATCTTCAGAACCTCTGTACAAATATTTTGAAACAGCACCTTATCTTGTGTTTCCTTACTCACAGTTCCCTCCGCCTGGCTCTCTGGGACTCCAAAAACTATTACAGTAGTACCCCGCTTAACGCGGTCAATTGAACCCACAGGGTACCGCGTTAAGTGAAAACCGCGTTAAGTGAACAACAGAACACATGGGATTAATTCCAATAGAGACTGGCCCGACCCCCAAACTCCACTTTTTGACGACACACAACTATGTTGTAGTAAAAATATTATCTTAACTTTATGATGGTATGCACACACAATTAATAATTAAGAGAAATATCAATAATATTAGGTTTTTTAACACTTACATTAGTAGAAAAGATGGCTGGGCACATGGGGATGGGGGGTTGGTTCCGAGGCAGAGGGTAGATTATTGGCCCTCACCTGTATCACTTGTATCAATTGTATCACTATCCACCACAGAGGCTTGCAGGGCCTCTTTGTCAAACCCCTCAAAGTCCTATAAGTCCATATCCTCACTATAATTATCACTATCACTGACTTGAGCCGGCTGTGGTGGGTGGCGGGTGAAGAACTCGGTAATGTTTTGATGACTGGGCGACCTTGTGCGCATCGTGCCCGCGCCGCTTCCCGCGTATATGAGTAGATGAACCGCGTTAAGTGAAAGTTCGGTTCATGAAATCAGACTATAAAATCGCTATGAACCAAGGGCAACCTGTACACACCGCGCCTTTGAGACGTTCCTGGTGTTCCTCCTCTCCCCTAACAGTAGGTCCGTGAATTTTCATTTCTTCGACACACTTCTTCAAAGTCCCAAGCTGTTGTAGACCCTGTTCTGATCCTGCATTACACTCCGCCCCCTCCCGTGGCCCTCCTAATACGTCAGCATAACTCGTCTTAGCAATCACCTCCATTCTATTGGCTACTTCCTCAGTCTTAGCAAGGATCTCCTTCCCAACTTGCTCCAGTTTGGCAACCGGCAGGGCTCCAGATTCATCTATTTTCGTCCCTAGAGGACTCGTTCCCTTATGGCTTGCAATCGCTTCATTCACCTTGACTATGCAGCCAGGGCAATACCAGCATCAGCCCTCATGGTTTACGGCAGTTAGTAACTTCCTAAACGTTGCATTAATCAGGCCTGTGTCCTCCATATGCGATGTCTCCTTGCAGTAATCACATATCAAACTCTGGCGGTCAAGTTGTTGTGTATCTCCCTGTGAGTGGTGTATTGTAGGCACAGTTTCAGTCCTTGAGAAAGCACACAAACAAAATAAAATTTAAAGTCTCTGTGGCACCTATGGCACGAATAGGCTGGCAGTTGTCCTTACCAGCTTGATTGCCAATATGTGTTCACTTTAAGTTATTTACAGTCTCTTCTGCGGACACTGATGACACTATGAACTGGTTTACCTAAAATCACAGTACTACACTCCCTGGTTGGCCTTTATCACAGCCGTGACCACAACTCCTTAAAAAAAATAAAATAAAAGCTTTGTCATGTGGCAGTGATTTTGTGGTTATAGGCCTTGTGACCTTGGCTGTACCTCCAACTCGGTGGAAATTGAGTTTTCAAAAATACAATCGCGTCTATCATTAAAAGTCCTACATCGATTTACACTTTCACATCACTAAGATGATCTTAACGATCTTATGTAGTCACTGTCCAATTTCTGCCGCTCTACATCGAAGGCCCGAATGCCGAACACACTTTGTTACAGAGACGCAACACGACCCGCCCGCCCAGAAAAGTAACGTTACAATTTTAAATGATGGACAAAATGCATGGATATATAGTTTTCTCTAGTGCATTGTCACATATTGGTTTGCCAGCTCCATGTATCAGTAACAGGATTCAAATACAGTGTATACAACATGTGTATTTATAAAAATATCTGCAAGACCAAAACTTAAATTACTCATCATTTGAAATTTTGGCAATTCTCTGCACAAAAGTATTACCAGATAATTTGATCCACATAGTACAGTACAGTATACCAGTACCTGTAGTGGACTGTACAAACTGTTCTAAAACTAGCGGTCTAACAATGCTCATTAAACCACAAACCACATCGGCCCATGGGTAATGATACTTTTTGGGGGTTACTATACTGTATAGTACAGTATACACATAAGCATTTTCACATTTCCTAAGATCAATTACCGTATATTCATGATGCAAAGCCTCATAAGGAGAATTTGTACTTGATGAAACTCCTGTAAATTTGGATGCTTCTTACAACTAACTTGTTTAAAAAAAATTTCAGGCATCTACAAGGGAATTGTCATACATTATCTTTGTGGGGATGATGGTGTCATATTGTGCCACACTGCCCCTCTTAGCTCGGCCAACAACCCTAAGTTGTGCTGTATCACGAATCATGCCTGGACTCTCCTTTGCCATGATATATGCTGCTCTTGTTACCAAAACCAACCGCATTGCCAGAATACTTGCAGGAAACAAGAAGATTATGATGCGCAAACCTCGTTTTATGTCTGCCACTGCCCAGGTAAGGACCCAAGAACATAGTATTATTGTTATAGGATACCTGGTACACATTTTCTTATCATACAACTTGGTGGCACTTGCCTGAGCTTTCTTCTATACTAACACCTCTCTCACATATACCAATACAGTATCTCCTAGTGTACTGGTAATATCTTTATCATTTGATTTACTTTGTAGCATATTGTATGTGGCCAGTTGTCAAATTTATCTTTGTGTTTGTCTATTTTCTTTTTGTTAGGCTTTTAATTTTTTTTTTCTTTTTCATAAGCCATACATTTCTTATTTCTTATTTGTTTTAATGTTAATAATTCCACATATTGGAAATTCTCTTAAGAATTACACTTCTTGCCTGTAATATACCGGTATGTGCTATTCTGATTAGCAGTGTGCATCTCCCATCACTTCTCTGGTCATAAAACAGGATCATTACATATAACCTGTGACCACAACAGCAAACCACTTCAGTCTCGCCTGTATTCTAACACTAAATAGTTGTCTGTCTTTGCATTTAATATTGTTTTTTTTATTTCTCCATAACAGAAAATAAGGAATCCTTGAGGAGCGTATCATCAATGAAATTGTTTCGATTACAAAAGAAGAATATTTTGAGTGTTTGGACATGTTTTTCATAAATGAGACCCAGTACTGAGGGCAAACTTAGGTTATTTGAACCCAGTTGAATTCGGGGGGGGAAAAGGGATTCATATGTATTCCTCCACTTTAATTATCAAGATAGATCAGGTTAATCTTATCTGGTAAGCCATCATTTTCCAGAGCATACATTTTGCGAGTGCATCAGCCACATCTAGTATATTACATTAGAGATGGTGGAATTCTCACCAAAACTTGATCATTTAGAATACAGGAACTTCATTAGACTGGCTCTTCCCAGGTGATCATCACATGTATACTTATCAGTATTGAAGTTGGCATCATCACCACCACCCTCATCCTGGACCCACCTGATGTTGACCACATCTACCCTCGCCAAAAGGAGGTAAATCAAAATTTGTGTATTGTGTTATTTATATCTGTAGTACTTATTACCATTGCTGTCTTAAATGAAAGAAACACCATATTATTAAAGGCACTGACTTCTTGTAGTCAACCTTAAGATGACCTCATCTTACTCTCCTTGCATTCCAGGTTAAGTTAGTATGTAACACCCCTCCTCGAGGTATTATAGCACCCATGGGTTGGGACTTCTTCCTCATTGCCATGTGCACTGTGTATGCTGTCAAGACAAGGAACTTGCCTGAGAATTTTAATGAAGCCAAGTTCATTGGATTTTCAATGTATACAACTTGTGTTATTTGGGTAAGCATTGAAACTAATTACTGTACAGAACTTTACTACCAAATGAATTTCTGTTTAGAATTCTGAAATAAAAGGTTGTTCTTCAACTTTTTTATACTCAGAACTATAATTGTCATTAATATTTCACTGTTTTATATAAAAAAGATGAGAATCATTCTTTTAGTCTTGCTAATTATTTGCTATAATGAGAAAAATACAGTTGTTTTAAAATACACAATTTTTTTACACAGATGCTTGGGTATTGTTCCAAGAAACAAGATTGAATTACATTTTTCACCAACAGATGGCTTGGTTACCCATCTATTTTGGCAGTGACCACAAGATCATCTGTATGAGCATGTGCACCTCCCTCAGTGCCATGGTCACCCTGGTACTGCTCTTCTTTCCCAAGATCTACATCATGCTCTTCAGGTGGGTTGTGGTTGTCTAGCTCAGGTTTTCATCTAATTTATTCCAGGAAATAAGGTGAAAAATATTGTTATGTAAGTTTTATTGTTGATTCTTTTCTAATGAAAATGTGAATTGGTATTATTACAGATGAAATCATAATTTTTGTATGGGTGAGTTTTTTCGTAGGATAAACAGTGAATAGAAATAGAAACATTTTTCCACATAGGCATGAGCTACTGTAGGCACCATACTATGCAGTCCGTACTGTTGCACAGTTAAGGATTATTTGGCTACAATGAAACCTGTGTAATCAGACCCTTCAAGCAGCTGAGGGCCTTTGATCAGAATGGTGGTGTGATCTGTATACATAAACACAACCACTGTACAGTACAGTACAACCAATTACACCTTCAAGAGTGAGGTGCTTCCCAGCCTGGAGTATGGTCACCTCATCGGGTCCCAGAAATATGCTGGTGACTGTCAGTTGATTGAAAATGTCCAAAGGAGGGCCACCAGACTGGTGCCTACACTTCGGCACCTTAGCTATCCAGAGAGATTAGAGCGCCTGCAACTGCCTAGCTTATACTACAAACGGGCAAGAGGAGACCTAATCGAGGTGTATAAGCATCTCAAGGGGCACTACTCATTCGAGTGTCCATACCTGGAGCTGGGGGACGCCCGCCCCACAAGGGGTCACAGCTCAAGGTTGAAGAAGCTGCAAGTCCAGAAAACTGTGAGGGGTAACTTTTGGAGTGAGAGTTGTGAACTCTTGGAACAATCTGCCAGACAGTGTTCTGACTGTGCCGAGTGTGAGCTCTTTCAAGACCAGACCTGACAAGCACTGGAGCAGGTTCAGATACATTCAGGAGCCAGTGCATGCCCAGTACTTGCCAACAGTGCGTAACAGAGACATGACCTATCGCCCAAGCAGCTAACGCGCCAATCAGTGGTGAAGAGGATAAAAGTAAAGTAAGTAAAAGTTGGGGTAGATGAGGTTACGCTTGTAACCCTCCGCCGCGCATCGGGACCCACTCATTGCACGGGAACTTTAAAAGAAGCCTTGTGGAATTATTTTAATTTTCCAGTACAGGCGTTCCAAAAAACGTACAGATTTTGGTTTTTAGGATTTCGGATAGGGGATTTTCAACCTATTGGCATATGCTATACAGGACCTGTACAATACACTAGGGTAGTAGTGCATTCAGACCAGTGTGGTGGTGCATAGAGACTAAGGTGGTGGTGCATTCGGATTGGTGTATTCAGGCAATGTAATTGTAGTGTTTGGTTGAATTTACTGTACTGTATCTTCCTTTGTAAGTGGAGATCATCATGATTTTTTGGTAAGTACAGAACTTATTATTTTTGCATGAAATCTGACTTTAATCTCCCCCTTAAATGCTATGTCTGAGTGTAACACGACCAGCACTGTTGGGTTAAAAATAAAATTTTGTGCTTAGACTTGGGCACAGTCCCCTCTGAGTGAGGTACCTGTACCCTATTATACAGTGTACAGGTATTCCAAAATCCAACAAAAAATCCGGAATCTGTGACACATTCGGCCCCAAGGATTTTGGATAAGGGTTGTGTTAGCACCACTGAAATATTGAGAGGGATCAGATTGCATAGTGTTGTATGTGGCTGTAGAACAGCTTTTGGTTAATATTGACGACTGACCCGCGAAAGAGTTATTTGTTTTACTGTTTATTTTCTTACTTTATTTTCATCAGTGATTTCTGATATGATAATCATTTCTTGTGCAAATGTTTCGTTTGGTTGATAATTAGATCCTAGGCGTGCACTAATTTTTTCTTCTCGGTGGTAATGCGGAAGTGACGTCTCATCCCAGGATGTAAACAGCCAATCATATTGACATATTTCAAAACACTCTGCTGCCCAGGTTTGATCAACGTCAATGCTCCATGTATGCGTAAGAACCATTCGCTATGGACAGGTGCTCTCATGTCCACATAAACATAAAATTACACCATATCATAGATAGTTCTTTCTGTTTAATACTCTGCCCCCTGGCTAGGAAGTTAGGTAAGGTTAGGTAGGTTTGTTTGGTTAGGTTGTTGAGGTCTTCTAACAACACATTTGCTTGTTTTTCATATCAACTAAGGTTAGGTTAGGTTTAGTTTAGAAATAACCACTTTTTAACACATTTGCACAAACTACGGCAGTGTCCACTATAAAACACAGTGAAATTGCGGCATTTTTATACTAAATTTCTATGAAAAATCGGCCGTGGGTCAGTCATCAATAATTACCCAACTTTTTACAATCCTAAATAAATGACATAGAGTTTACCAGAATATCCTTTCATCCAAGACCCCCAGAATTATACACCTTCCTGCTCACATATTGTACAGTACAGCCCATTCAAAAAATGGGCCCTTTCAAAAATATTTTGTTTTATGGATCTTTTAGGGTTTCAGAATTTTGAATACAGAATCTTCAACATGTATCACTCTTTAGGTAGTTAAGTTATTTAGGATCTTAGTAAATAATTTTTAATTAATTATTATTTAATTTTCTCCTTATCCTAAATAATGATTACCGGTATTCCATATGAACATTTCTATTGTTCCAGACCAGAGAAAAATGACCGTTCAGCCTTTAAGACAGCCACAACAGTCCGGTGTCACATTGGGTCATCCAGCAAAGCCAGTATGTCAAGGCCCTCTGACCCCTCACCCAGTGCTGCTATTGAAAGGTGAAGAATTAGGAAACTAGTTTAGCCAAAAAAAGCTGACAAGAAAAAAATAATATTCTCAGATATTTTTATTTATAATAATAGCTGGTTTGTAGCATTATTATTTATTGATGATATTAACCAATTTATAATAAATGAAAAGTTTCATCCACTGATAAAAACATTTAATTAGGACAATATATTGCTTTATCTTCTGTAAAAGTGACTTTGTGATGATCAGTACTGTATGCAGTCATGTGTTAAGTGTACTTATTATTTGTTGAATGTATTCTATTGATATATTGCCTAGTAGGAAATATTATCTCAAATTTCAACTAAAATGCAAGTAACTTCCCGGGTTACGGATGTGTACTGTTCCTGGAGGCTATCCATGAGCCAAAAGTAACCCTTTCATAGGGAACCATTGAATACACATAGTACACATAAGGTACAGGTATCCCCAAATTTACGATCATCCATTTTACCATATTCCGCGTTAACAGTAATTAGGTTTTAACACACTTGAACAATTTACGTTCAGCAAAATTCGCATTAACGATAGTTTTCATGAGGTCAAACTTGCTCATGCAAAATGTAAACATTAGGGAAGTACATATTTTCTTTCACTTGTCAAACCAAAATGGTCAATATGCACAGAAACTTCTTTTCCATCCACCAAACAGTGTCACCTACCCACGAGCTGCCTCACAGCCACCCTGTGTATTACAGTCCTCATGCTTTATTCAAATTTGATCGTTCCTGCCCTGGATCATGTAATTAAAGTTATGGTTATTTATATTTGTGTAGCCTTGTGATCGCTGTGATACACTCACCACACAGCTTCACGGTGGAAACCTATAGACGTAAATTTTTATGCCTTATGATTATTTATTTTTTCATTTTCTGTAAATAGGATTGTGTGTGTATGTAACTAAGTAAAAATACAATGAAGAAAATTACGTACATCATGCCCTTCAAATTCGCGGGGGCTAGGTTCTCAAAATGGCTGCGAATCGCCAAATCCGCAAATAACATTTGCTGACTGGGGGTGGGTGGGGGGGTACATTTTTACATGTGTACAAAGAAATGTATATTCCCATTAGGTGTTTACCCTTAGGACAATTATTTCTTTTACCTATATTGTACATACAATACAGGTAAAGGAAATTACTGTCTCTAGAATGAATGGCTCCCTGTCCCGGCCACAAAAATGTCAGCAGACATTCTTGGGTACATCCAGAGTGTCATCCGCGAATAATAGAGGACCGCAAATTATCCGGGAGTACTGTATATCTACCCAAAATTACGAGTTAAAAATACTTTAAACCTTATGGCTGCTTCAAATTTCTCGAATAAAATATCTACATACAGATACTTTACATCAAAAGTCACTGACCATGGGAATGAATCTTATCACAACGTCTTGAACTGTTTCATGATAATAATTCACAATATTCTCTACTCCCTCTCCCTCCCTGCTTACTGTTAGCCTGTATGTTGGACCAGCCATGTTGGGTATTGGGCAGCCACAACTGTCTCTTATGCAGAGGATTCGGTCCACTCTGGGTATGCCCTTCATCCCACCCATCGGTATCCTGCCCAGAGACCCAAATCCACGCTCCATGCTCAGAAGGGAGATCAGGTATGTTTGAACATCCCCTCTAACAATATAAAAAACTCTAAGGGTGCATACCAGTGCACAGATCTCTTCCTCTGCATGGAAATTTGACCTTTACATATGACCTTGATTTTTGACACATGCTTCTCCAAAATTCAACTACTGTACTGTACTTCTTCTGTGACCAGTACCCAACCTATCTGTCATATTGCAGCATATTTAAAATGACACATTCCAGTGCCTAGTAATGAATGCTCAGGTCAGTCATTTTCCTTAAAAATAATCAGCTCATTCATTTCATGACTAACAAACAATCCAGCCTCTAAATTGATCTACCCATTCATGAGATGTTGTATACACACATGTATACTTTTTTCTGTTGAAACTCAGTTGGGTTCACTAAGATATGATATACAGTATATATGCAGTGTATCATAGTTTACAGTTTGTCTTCTACATGCTCAGGAGTACAGAGGGTCCCCTGGTTACGAACGGGTTCCGTTTCTGAGGACTTTCTTAAAGTCAAATTTGTACGTGAGTTGGAACACGTGCTATGTGAATACCGTACTTAAAGAACGATGTTTAAATTCCTACTACTGTATACCATAGCCTAAGTCCTTATTTACATCTAAAATCACTTAATTTAAGACAAAAGAAGAAATACGATGACAAAATATAGTAAATGAAAGTAAAAAATAAGTCATCAAGTAAATAAAATACTGTAAATTTCAAGTTTAAACCTGTTCGTATCAGCGGGCGTTCATAATTCGGACGTTCGTAAGTTAGGGACCCCCTGTACCTATACTGAGATTTTCAACAAAATCCCATTTTGGACCAAAACTGCTGAAAATGCAAGCCTTACGCCTTAGTAATTTTTCGACCTTAGCATGCTGATCCCGAATCTATGGTCCGTGATTCGATTGCAGGATAATTAGTGGTCGTAATGATGCAGTTTTGGTGTGATAATGATGTTTTTATGTTATTTGGGGAGTACTTAATTAGTTAAATCCCTTACATTCCAATTCTGAGAAAAGTATAATTTAGTCGAAAAATTACTAAGGTGTAAGGCTTACAGTTTTGGCCCAAAATTTTATTTTGTTCAAAATCTCAGTATGGGTACTCCTGGGCATGCTGATTCTGAATCTATGATCGACGATTCGATAGCGAGGTAATTAGTGGTTGTAATGATGCTGTACTGTAATTAGATATACAATATTACCTACAATCAGTTGACATACAGAGTAACAAAATAATTAATTGCTTCGTAATTTATTTTGTGTGCAGCGTGTGGAGTGATGCAAGTGGCAGCGCTGGCACGGGAGGAGCAAGTAGCAATAATCGGGACATGATGCTGAGAAGAGCCTATGGTTCACAACTTGACTTGACAGGTCAGATGAAATTGCAGAATTTTCTTAATTTTTCTCCTTTTACTGTGTGCAGTATTTGGATTGTAAAACTGGAGTAGAATATCAGCACTTCTTTATACTGTTGTTATAATCTTCATATCACAGCATTCCAAATAAATGCTAAAATTTTGGAGTAGAGGTTAAATCTTCAGTTTGAAGTGTTCTGCTTTTTTCATAATAGGTGCAGATAGATTAAATCCTGGCCACTGAATATGTGTGTGTGTTTATCAGTGTTTGTAGTGGCCAGCCACGAATTTTTACATGAGTCCCTGTTTCCATTTTTCCCATAAAGTTAAAGTATTAACTTCGAATGTTTTGATAAAGCACTTTACAAGAATGTAACCCCGCATATGTTGACGTCCATTTGCTTAGATATATAAGATAAGTTTATAAGTATAGATTACAAAGTGACTAAATAAGATAGTGTAAGAGTGAGCTATGTCTTTCTTCAGGTGGAGATATGCTGTGGAGCCGTGAGGATAGAAGCAGCCAAACAACAGATGACCTCCTGGACCCACTCATCCCTCGGCTGAGGCGACGCGTTGCTCGAGCAGTGAGGGAAAATGATATTGATGTTTCTGAAGGAAGAGAATTCTTCTCCATCACACATAACTGGATGATCTCACAGGTGTGCCCAGGGGAAACACACGACAAAAAGATGGAATGATGAATTTCCTTCCAACTTCCTACTGTAAATATATGTATTTACTTTCTTTTATCTTAATTTTGTAATTTTATTTTATTAAATTTTTTTTGCTCCTTTTTTTAAGTTGTTAACCGTACAATACACTAATCACTTTTACCGCACGCTTAATTTACAACAAGGCATTTTCCTCGCATTGTGTTTAAACCATTTATTTTTTATTGTTCAGCAAGAAGTGTTCCTTGGTTGTTTGGCTGTTGCAGTGTTGGTATTTTGTCTGTTGTAGTTACAAAGGAATTTGGATTATAGTGAAGTATATTAATGGTAGGTGAAAGATGAGTCACCCAGGGCATCACAACTATGTGAAAAACAAAGGAACCGTCATCTCTCTCTATATCAAACCCAGTAAAGATATTAGAACATATTCTTACTGTACTGTATTGTACTGTACTTATATTTCAACTAATTTACCTTTGCCAAAACTTCTTTATTCACATAGTTAATATTTTCATTGTGTTTGTCAGTGCCTTATTATTTGCTAAATCTTCAGTTTTTGCTCTGTATTGTATTACCTGTCTGCCTGTGACTGAAACTTTACTGTTGTATTAGACTCCACTCACAAGCTAGAGTACTGCTGATTTAGAACACTTCTTTATTATTCTGCTGGTTCGCTGATGGTGTACATAGACTGGAACCCTCAATAACCCTTTCAAATTTCTGGCCATGTCCAGTATAGTAAAAGTTTATTCAAGAAATTAAAGCAGTGAGAGATTGATTACAGAGCATTATCAAATCTTTTCACCAGTGTCCCCTTGCTAAAGACTGAACTTTTACTGTTTTTACTTTTATCCTCTTCACCACTGATCGGCTCATTAGCCGTTTGGGCGATCGGTCACATCTCTGTTACGCACTGTTGGCAAGTACTGGGCATCCACCGGTTCTTGAATGTACTTGAACCTGCTCCAGTGTTGGTCAAGTCTTGTCTTGAAAGAGCTCACACTCGGTGCCGTCACAACATTTTCTGGCAGATTGTTCCAAGAGTTCACAACTCTCATTCCGAAAAGGTATGTCTTCACAGTTTTCTGGACCTGTGGGGTCTTCAGCCTTGAGCTGTGACCTCTTGAGGGGCGAGCGTACGCCAGCTCCAGGTAAGGACACCTGACTGAGTAGTGCCCCTTAAGATGCTTATACATCTCAATTAGGTCGCCCCTTGCCCATCAGTAGCATAAGCTAGGCATGTTCAGGCGCTCCAATCTCTCAGGGTAGCAAAGATGAAGATGTTTGAAATAGGATGGTTGAGGTTATATGGCAAGTAAAGCACTGTGGCAGGGAATTCTACACAGGGCTCATCCAGGATATACATATAAATAAGTTTTGGTAGCAGAGGTACAGGTGTATAGTAAAATGGAACTTAAAACAGAAAATTTATGCCACCATCCCCCTTTAGATATCACAGGGATGATTCTGACCATTCGTGTATTGTATATTTTACTCCAGGAAATTCTTCTAAGTTCTCCTCACAGAGAGAAGGATGCTGGTACAGAGCCCATGTAGAGAGCAGCGAACAATGAACAGTGGCATAGATTTCTCACATACCTCTTCCAGGGGAAGATCCAGGAATATCAAGGGGGGGGGGGGTCCAAGAAGTTGTTGGTTAAGTAATCTGCAGAGACGTGGGTAGAGGTGTTTTTCCCTAAAAGCATATCATTAAGTAAAAAGGTGGTACAGTACTAATACAGAATCCTGAGAGATTGAGAAAAAACATCCGGAACTACATCTCTCTGTGACTAGATAGAAAAAAATAAATTAAAGGGACTCAAGAGGTAGGAGAGATATTTTACATGTAAAGATAAGTAACAAACTCTCTCATACACTTTTGGAATGTCAAGAGTTACTGCCTGGGTGTCACCATTACAGTCTATCGAGTCATTTGTGGAGTGAATGTGTAAGGAAAGACAAAAGATTAGGAGTGGAGTGACCTATACAGAAGTCTTAATATAGATCACTGAGTAAATTGTTAATTATAAGGTAAGTGGTCCCCAACCTTTTGTAGGCTCTGGGACACATTTGTCATTGTAAATACAGTAAGTTCTCACTTATCTTCGGGGTTATGTTCCTGAAAACGCGACGTTATGCGAAACAACATTAATCGGATCAATTTTCCCCATAAGAAATAGATAACATACGGGAGTTACTTTCCTCAGCCTCCCTTTGCCCCATGAAAAACATTGCATATACAGAAAATCATTGCCATTTCTATAGAAAATAGTATACAAGTGTATAGATATATAACTATTAAGTTTGTATTGGTACTCACCGATGGGCGGTGGTGGTGGAGCGAGTGCGTGGTGGGTAGTGAAGAGGAGGAGGCGGATGGCGGGAGCGGAGGAGGAGGAGAGCGGGAGCAGAGGAGGAGGGTGAGAGCGGAGGCGGGCGGGAGAGGAGGAGGGTGCCTCCTCCTCCTCCTGCGCTGACTGGGGATCCTCCTCCGCTGTTTGCTCCTCCTCTGTTGTTGTTTGCTCCTCCTCGGCTGCTTTGTGCTCCTCCTTGGCTGCCAGCTGTTGTGAAGCTGCTGCTTCTGCCGTCCTGCGACTGACAAATGAATCCAGTGTTGACTGCTTGGTGCTACTCTTCTTCGCCTTATAGATCTCGGTGTAACAACCAAGACTGTCATCAATGCTGCGTTGAACCTTTGAGCTACGTTTTCTGTTTGGGTCGTCATCTATAAGGATTTGCATTGCTTGCTGCAACATGTTGAACGATTTTGCCAGCCTCTTGGAAGTTAGCATTCGTTGAGGTTCTTCTTCATCTTCGTCGTCTTCAACGGGACTGTGTTCTGTTAGTTGTTGCAGATCTTCGTTGGTGAGCTCTTCTGTACGGTATGCCAGGACATGCTCAATATCCTGATTCCAGCTCATCAAAGCCTGCCTATCTAGTCAAGCTGAGGATATCCCTATTCACATCTGGGACTAAGTCCGTGAATTCCATAAAACTGTCGACGCACTCGGGCCGCAATTTACCCTACACACCATTCAGGCAACTTTCTGAAACCTCTTCCCATGCCTTGTCAATGCTGTCAATTGCATGAAGAATGTTGAAGTCACGCCAATATTCTCAGATCGTGGGTTTGTTTTCTCCGTCTGTAGCCATGAGCAACTGGGCCATGGTACAGCGTAAATAATACACATTGAATGCGGTGATGATGCCTTGGTCCATAGGCTGCATCAGTGCTTTTGTGTTGGGAGGCAGAAATACAACTTTTACACTGTCATGCAAATCATCGAGATTGGGAGGATGAGCTGGAGCATTGTCAAAGGTCAGAAGAATTTTGAAGTCAAGGTTCTCCTTGGCACAATATTCCTTCATTGCAGGGATGGCGTACATGTTTAACCACTGGCTAAATATGGCGCCGGTTATCCATGCCTTTTTGTTTGCCTTGTAAATGACAGGAAGGTGATCCTTAGAATAACTTTTCAGGGCCAGTGGGTTATCAGCGCGAGAAATCAGCATAGGCTTCAGCTTGAAGTCGCCGGCAGCGTTCACACCAAGCAGCAGCGTCAAGCTGTCTTGCCGCTTTAAAACCTGGCGCTCTTCCTCCTTGGATATATATACCGGGTATATATATATATATATATATATATATATATATATATATATACATACATACATGCATACATACATACATACATACATACATACATACATACATACATACATATATATATATATATATATATATATATATATATATATATATATATATATATATACACACACACAGTTAACCCTCACTTTACGCGGTCCCACATTCCGCATTTCCACGTTTATGCGGTGCCCTGCCGGAACCCAGGATGCTCACATTCCGCGGTGCGTGTACCCCTTTACGCGGAGAGCGGCTGGCGAGCCGCGCCATTTTTGGATCCAAACCTCCCTCCATCCGCCATGTTGTGTAAGCTGCGCGAACATGGTGCGCACAAGGTCGCCCAGTCATTAAAACATTACCAGTTCTTCACCCGCCACCCACCACAGCCGGCCCAAGTCAGTGTTAGTGATAATTATGGTGAGGATATGGACTTATATGGACTTTGGGGAGTTTGACAAAGAGGCCCTGCAAGCCTCTGTGGTGGATAGTGATACAATTGATACAAGTGATACAGGTGAGGGCCAATAATCTGCCCTCTGCCTCGGAACCAACCGCCCATCCCCGTGTGCCCAGCCATCTTTTCTACTAATGTAAGTGTTAGAAAACCTAATATTATTGATATTTCTCTTAATTATTAATTGTTTGTGCATACCATCATCAAGTTAAGATAATATTTTTACTACAATATAGTTGTGTGTCGTCAAAAAGTGGATTTTGGGGGTCGGCCCGAACTCTATTTCAATTAATCCCATATGTTATGTTATTCACTTTACGCGTTCCTCACTTTCCGTGGCACCCTGTGGGTTACATTAACCGCGTAAAGTGAGGGTTGACTGTATATATATATATATATATATATGTATATTTTTCCCATTTTCTATGGCTTTTTCTCTGGACTGGTCTGTGATAAATACATACATCCTGTACACGACAGACTCTGGACAAATGGCAGTTTCTCTCTCTCTCTCTCTCTCTAACTACTGTATAATGTCCTCTAAAGTTTTAACATATTTTCATTATTTTCACTCAGATAAAGAATCCGTAATAATTCACAGTTTTCTAATAAACCCTTGCGGGCTCCATAATATGGTTTCGCATGAACTACAGGCTGGGGACCACTGTTCTAGGCATTTGAATACAGTTACAAGTCTTTGCTATTGTTGAGGTGAAGGAAATTTGTTGAAAATTTTAATTGTTGGATTTGTCATCTATTTTGTCGTTGGACTAATGTTGGCATCTTTCTCTGAAGAGGAGAAGTGTGAAGAGTTGGACAGAACAGGAAAAAGATCAGTAGAGCATTTCTTGAGAACAAAGAGGGCAATCTCTACTGGACCTGGAGTGTTGTCAGTTTTTAAAACATCTTTGATTTTTTCTTATCTTTTATTTTGATTTTGAAGACCAAAATTTCAGGAAGCTCCATGTCCAGACGAGAAATCATCTGCTCGCCTCCTGCAGGTTTGAGTTACAGGCAAACATTTGAGAAAGTAGATAGTCCTTCTCAACCATCAGGTGAGTTGAGAGGAGGAATGAATAAATGGCTACTGAAGTTGGAGCTGAATTCGTTAAAAAAGGACCCGAAGTGTTGCTGTTGTTTAAGTTGTTCAGTGGTCTTTTTTTTTAACAGGATTAGCCCACCAGGGCACAGGTCAATGACCCATATCAGGACATGAGGGTAAAAATATGATGACGGTAATAATAATAATTAATACAAAAAATTAAAAATTATGAAAAAATATTAGATAAAAATACAGGTGCTCCTCTACTTAAGAACGTTCAACTTACAAACTTTCAGAGATACAAACATCATCACTGAGGGGGGTTACCTGCCAGAACAGGTGTTTAATGTGGATGAGACTGCATTATTTTGAAGAAAATTCCAGACAGAACAAACATTACCTAAAAGGAGAAGAGTGAACCAGGTTTTAAGGCTGTATTAAAAGGTATAGCTGTCCTAAATATCCATAATCTTTTCATTTTTATAATATGTTTGGTATCTACAAGAGTAAAGTTGGACTTACAAACAATTGGACTCATAAACAAGCCTCATTCGTAAGTATAGGAGCACCTGTATAATATAATGATAATAATAATAATAATAAATAAATAAAATCATTAGTGAGAAACGATATACTGTATGTATGTTGTGTTGTCAAAGTAAGAGAAACAATTGAAACCCTGCAATTGTGTACAAATGAAGCAGAAAGTCAGATCAGCAACCTGGGACTTGGTCACAATTTTCGTGATGCCATATGGCATATGTTTATATGTAGTTACTGAGTGTAACTAAAGTACAAGGAAAGGTCAATTGTATATAGATCCATTGTATAACAGTCAACACCTGTATTACAGTTTTTTTTTTTTTGGCCTTTATGCAGCGACAAACTATTGGACAATGCCTTAGGACATCTGTCTGTTATCTTGAGGGTTTGTCTGATAGGTTTAGGGTGTTCATTATAACTGTAATCCATTATATACAGTGTCCATTATACTGAGGGTTTACTGTAGATATTTTTCTTAGGTCGCTGGTTAACCCAGACCCATAAAAAAGTGCTACCTGTACAGTACATTACATTACTGATGTAGTGTGATAGACAACCCCACCCAGTTGTGTACCTTATATATAAACCCTTACCCAGTGATCAGTGCAGATGAGGGTGGTGTACAACCCTGCCAATTTAGAAGTCAGGAGTTGTGTCCCAAGCAGTTCAACATATACTTCTCACTTGGCCACTTTAGGTAAAGTAAGAAGTATAAAATAGAATTACAGTACTTTACTAATGCACCTAAGGTTAAATAGGTTTGTTCTTCTTATCCAATGTTGGTACAGGAGAAAACCAGAGTACCCACACTGAATAAAACCCCCCCCCCCTTCCCTCATATCTGTCTTGGGCCAAGGATTGAACCCAGGACATAGTTATGAGATGTATTCGCATTAGCATACCACCATAAAACAAATATTCAATGTTGTGCTATTTTATCATTATTGTATTTATTATTTACATTCCTCCACTTTTGCCTTTGTCCTGTCTGGTTTCTGTACTGAGGCAACTCTCTTGCTTTAAAAATTATAATGTAACATTGTGTAAATAAGACACAGTTACTAACTATAGTCAGCAGTTTTTGCATGATACTGTAGTAATTGCTTTGTATTATTATAAATGCTGCTTATGGGTTTATAGAACTTGAATGCAAGAAGTTTATTAACTGACATGTTTTGGGAAATTTTATATAAGGTTTCATGTGATAACTGTTTAAAGCACTAATAATAATAATAATAATAATAATAATAATGTAACATTATTATTATATTATTATTATTATTATTATTTCTTAAGTAAAATTGTCATACAGTTTTACAGTTGGATAGGCATGTATATAAACTATGCAGTTCAAAATGAATATGGACAGTGTAGGTACAGTATATACAGTTTCCTATGTGACAAGAGAGTGCAAGTACCAGGTAAACAATAATAGTAAACAGTAAGGCAACATGATCAAGGATAGCTGACAAAGCTCTCAGATGTTTATTTCCAGGAGGGTTCCAAGAAAATTTTATTTTTGGTCTCCTATGCTAACTGTTTAAAGCAATGGTGGTTCCCCACCTTTTTAGTCTCTAGGTTAAGTGTCCAAAAGGTTCATGACTGTTTGATTTACAATGAATTGAAGTTAACTTCTTATGGGAAAGAGCAACTAGGTAAGGTAGTAAGAGTAGCTAGGTTAAGTAGTAAGAGTTCATAGATTTCTGTCAATCTTCCTCCCCCCCCCCCCAAAAAAAAAATAGTTGTTCTACAAATTTGAGAGGTGTTACTGTAGTTACTGAGTAAACCACTGCACTGAAAACAGTTCATGCAGTATGTACACCAATGATTCAGATTATAAGTATGATGAAGGAATACCATATAGGATGTTGCTGTCAACAGTCTTGACCAAATGATACAATTTTACCTTTGTTTTGAATGATATAGTTGGTATTCCTCTTCTAACTTAAGCTTGCCAAAGAATCCCTTTTACATCTCTCACTAGAAAGAAGTACAGGGACCATCTTGAAAGACAAAATGGATGCTTTGCATTGAAATGCAGGGAAGTTGGGAGACCTCATCACTATACATTGTTTGGTTTATGAATTAATTTTTGATTTAGTATTTTCAATATGTGTCAGCTTTCTAGGCAGTTAGTCAGTTCTCCCGTTACAATCTTCCCTGTCCAGTGTTGGTTCACAAGAAAACTGGAGTACCTGGAGAAAATCTGGCCTATGATGTTTTGTAGGGTCACACTGGATAGCACTCTTTTCACATCTGACCAAGGGATTGAACCCAAGATGCACTGAGAAGCAAGTGTGCTACTGCTGTACCAGTATCACCAACACACATGAGATGGTACTGCCCTTAATCTTAGGAAATGTAAACTAACAATGGTTACAGAGGTGCATTTCACCATAAGATGCCCTAGCATCTTAGAGGGATACTGCAAATGTTCAGTGGTAGAGATTGATACCATGAACTTCAGACACTGGTTGCAAAATTAAAAGGATAATGGTTGGAAATCAAGTCTGTATTGATATTTAGAGATACAGGTACAGTACTGTAGTTCATTAAATGCAATCATTTAGGGGACTACTGTACTGTGTATACAAAAGAAATAAATTTATATATCAGTATTTCATTAAGAAATAAGTACAGTACCTAGCAGATTTTGTATAAACACCACTACACATACAGTACAGTATATAGCATGTGCATATTCACTACTGTGCTTATATCTGGTGTTCTTGACAATATTCACCAATTTACTTACAAATTATGATTTGAAAAGGATTTTTTTATCAACAGACAAAATTACTTTAATATTTATCAAAATATTTCAAATGTTTCCCCTAGTGTTTTGGTTGGATGATATGGAAGGTAAGAAGATAAAATTTGTATTTACTGTTGTTTTAATTATTAATAAAAATAAATTCTTCTTTGATAAAGGCTGAAGCTGCCAAAAGTGCTGTGAACAGGCAGAAGAACAGTGAAGCTGAGGTGTGGCCAACCACCACGATCATCATCAGAGAAGATTTAGAAGTAGAGGAGAAGGTGAAAGAAGAAAAAGAAAGTAAAGTAAAAGAGCCACTGGCAATTCCAAAGCAAAATGGAGTTGTGAGCGACTCTGAGCATTCAAATATCAAAAATAGTTATGATGCTTCCCAGGAAACATCACAATCAGTAACTAAGAAAAAACTGGACACAAAACAATCTCCAACTCCTGGATATGACAACACTGAGCATGACAAAGTTGAGCTTCCAGATCAAAATAGAAATGAAAAAAATTCAGTAGCTTGTGGTGGTAGTCCTACAACACAGGATGGTAGTAACTTGTGTAATAATAATAATTGCTCTCAGCTTACAAAAGTACAAGACAATAATATCCCTAGTGAAAATAATAGTTCATCACCCAAGCAACAGAAGTGTTCTGAAAATCAAAATAAGTGTTCAATTAATAGACAGACTAGCACAGATTCTCAAGTTGTAAATTTTATTGGTTATGGTTCAGTGATGCCATGTTCCAGAGATGAAAACTGGACAAAACAAAGATCAGTCAGTTGTGATAACAGCATAATATTGAAGAACAAAGTTGTACCCTTAAGCCAGTCAACACAAACAGAACAATCTCATGAAAAACAAGGATGGATTTCTAATAGTGACAGCAGAAACCTTGTGGCAGAAACTAATGATAATAATGGAAAATCAGATCTTCAAAACCGCAAGAGAAAAGTAGGAGTGTCAGCCCGGGTGTCAGATGTTCGCGGCATCCTCAAGTTCGTCAATTCTTCTCCCACAGAGAGAGAGACGAGAGTTTCATTTGATTCTCATTTTTCTCCAGTAAAAGTTACTACTGAAGATGAGTTACTATCACCAGTATTATCTGATGATGACCTTGAGAGTGATAGTCAAGCTGGAGACAAACAACTTGAGCATCACAAGTTATCAAACAACTCAGCGTGTGCAGACCAGCATTCCATATCAGAAGAAACTTCTTTTAGCATCCTTGAAGAAGCCCTCAGTGCTGAAAGTGATATTGAAGCTTCAGATAACTGTGAATTAAAGACTATAATCATCAGATTAGGAAGTGATGAAGCAAATGTTAATATTCCAACAAAGGTTAAATCAGAAGTGAATGGTAGTCTAATAAACTGGAGACCAAAGCCTGGTAAAAATCATAAAGTACTATCATACACTCCAGCAACCTATAGTTATGATAATCCCTCTGCTAATATTGATTCAGAGGTTTTATACAATGTACAAGACTTACAAGGTATAAAGACCTCTGATGTGTCTTCAGTCAGTCATCTTACACAGCATGAAGGAGATGAAGACCCAAGTAAGAGATATGCAAGTGAAAATGAACTAGTCATATTAGATTTATTACACAGTACCTTCCCACAGAAGTATTATAATCCTCAAGGGACACAAGTCCATTGCAATTCTAATTTACCACAAAGTCTTATCACAGAATCACCTACATTTCGTGATACAGTAACATCGGAGGATCCAGGATCTACTTCTCATAAACGCCTCACAATAACTCCACCAGAACTCTACAGAAATTCTCCGACAAAACAACTTAGTCCTTCACAAGACCCAGACACTCACTACCTCCAGTATTACAGCCATTCCATTCCATCTCACAAATCACATCCATCAGAATACATTTTTGACACACAAGAACATAGTCATCATCACAAACAACCACACAGATCTCCAGCACAAGTGAACCCAACAGTAATCCCAGCAGATTTACAACAAATTGAAGTTGACTCTGGTGGTTTTTCCTCTGATTCTAAACCAAACCAACATTGCACTTCTGTTGAAGCACCAAGACACATCACTTCAACACCTCAATCTCAAACCATTTTAAAATCACACTGTCAAGTGGTAGAAGAAGGGAGACACACAGAGAGGAGGCTGTGTAGAAATGATACTGATGATGATACTGATGAAAGTACAACACCTATTGAGGAATTCTTCAGGACTCATGGCATTAAATTTGATGTTACATCAACAAAATCAAAAAAGCTATAAATATTGCTAATTTTTAGATTTCTCTACAGAATCTATATGGGCATTCCCCGGGTTACGGAAACTCTGGTTGCGGAAATTCGCTCTTCCGGATTTTGTAAATTACAGAATGACCAATAAATTTGGGATACGGACAAAAACTCGCCCTTACAGAGATTGGGTAAATTTTTAAGTTAAAATTTTTGTTTCAATACTATTAGGAAAAAATGTACAGAAATTATACAATTTATTTCGTGTGGATTTCTTGGTGGTTGGTACAATACTGTACTGTACAGGGCGAGGCAGGAGTCAGTAGTGCCCCTCCGTCTCCCTCCCAGTAACTCCGATAACACCACCTTACCTCACCACCTCACCTAATGCAGCACTCAACATTGTTTGTGTAAGTTAAATTCAAGTGCTTTGTATATTTATTATCATGTTATATCATAAAATAATCAATGTATGTGTTAAAACAAATTATTTTCATTCATAAATGTGCTCGTATATACGTCTTTTTGCCGAAAATATTTCCTTGGGAACGCATCTCCAATTATATAACAAGTCAATGGGAATATTGGTTTTGCGTTATGGAATTTCACGTTACGGACAAATTTTCAAGGACACACACCTTCCGTAACCCAGGGGATGCCTGTACTTTAAAATAATGTAAAAATTACATAGCCCAAAATATGAACAACTGAACTGTAAACGAAAATAACTTACACAGGTTTGTAAGTACAGTCAGTTCTGCTATAACACGATAGTTGTGTTTTTGTAAAAGATCGTGTTATAGAAATTCATGTAATAGAAATAACAGGGCTTATGGAGAAAATAGGGTTAGGTGCAGATTACTTCTCTAAATCGAAAAAAAATTAGTAGTTAGCCTAACACAAAGGTTAGCACAGTCTAAATAAATGTTACATTCATATCTAATAATGAAATCATACAGTAAATGTAACACTTTACCTTGAAAAAATATGAATATAACTTGATGGGGGAGAAGGGTGATTTTGAGGTTGATAACATCGAGCTTCTCTTCAAGGGTTATAGCCTTTCTTTTACGATCATCACCGGGAATGCGATCACCAGAACGCTTCTTGGAGATATTCTTCTTTACCATATTCACAGTTAATACCACAAAATTGGAGAAATATTAAGCAAAAATCGCGTTACAGCAAACAAGCGTTCGCGTTATACAAATATCGTTCCTCTATTCATAAATCGCGTTAGAGCCAATTCGCATTGTCAAAGCGCGCGTTATAGCAGAACTCACTGTACATTACTGTAATGTATATCTACTATACACAGCACTGTGTATAGTACAGTAAGACCAGCTTTCTTATGTCATATAATTTGAATGGTTACACCTTCATGAGGCTTATTTGCTCAATATGAGACCGTGTACAGTAATTAAAATTTATTTACCCGGTATACATAAATAACACTTAAAAGATTATTTAAGGTGACATATCAGTAGTTAGCAAATTATTACTATTTTAATGTAAATCTTTCAGGGTGTTTAGACTAGTAGTGTTTCTGCTTCAGCTTCTCCATATTTTGTGAAGAAGTACAGTAAAGTGTTTTTCTGTGTCAACACAACATCAACAGTTTCACAGTATTTGTAGTTACATGTAACTTTTTTAACTGTCCACTGCCTGATTGTCCTACATGCTTTTAATTATAAACAACTGTAATAATCTAAGCAACAGTACATAAGTACACATAATGGGTAGATTCTGGAGAATTACCTAGAAGAGTGACATGCTGACAATCCTGATATTTAGGATTGTATATAAAGTTTATATATATACTATACATATATTTTGATCCTGCTTACTAGGAAATAGTTCTTGATAATCTTATAAAAGTTTAAACCATTTATACTTTTAATATTTATAAATAAGAGTGTCATGAAGTGATGGTACAGTATTGTGTATATTTTTGTTACCAGCTAATACTTCCTACATGTAAATGGGTGAGTGATCAGTACATTATTAAAAGGAATAGCTCTCACTAATTTGCTGTGTTTGACATTGTTACTCATATTAGGAGTCTGAGGACAAAATGTTAGTACTGTATTAAAAGGTATCTTCCGTGTCTAGAATTTCTGTTAAAACTTGTAGTGTTACACACAAGTGTATACAGTGATGTAAGATTCGTAGCTTCATAAATATATTGTTGTACAAACTTTTCACATTTCCTGAAAACAGATTCTCCTTTATCAATTGTTAGATGGTTTAATTTTAGCTTTAATGTGCCATGTATATTATAAATTTGTGGGGAACTTACACTTTATAAACCAGAATTTATGTATGCTATCTGTAGTAAATCATAATATTTATAATATTAAGAAGTAATCAGTCAAATGAACAAGTAGGTGCCATAAAATTAGCTGCAGACCAGATTCTCATCCTATAGTCATTCCATTTCATTAGAAGTAATTTTTACATTTGTCACTTGACAGAGGGAGGAGTGGGGGATTTCCAGCCCTCTGTGTATAGGATGAAGTTAAATATGATACATACTGCACTGTAGTTTTGTTTCCCCTCATAGAGAGGAGACTTTCTTTATATCTTGACTGTTGAACATTATTCCTTTTATTTCCATGTCAGTCATCCTGTTGAAGCTTGGGAGAAGTACTGTACCTTGGTCCAGATGTGCCCATACACCTTATTTTTTTTATTAATACTGTACATTGGTTTTTAATCACCACGGTAATGTTCCATCATGTGTGTGTTTGTTTGTGTATTGTCACGCTGCTTCTTTTTAAGTCAACTTTGTGGAAGGTTTGCACTAATTTCAATAAAAACTGGTGTACAGCATATTGGAAGGACACCATAGAATTTTGCACTTGCATCATATTATTTTTTCAAAGTAAGCCAAATGGAAACGACAAAGCTTGTGGTCACACACTTAATGTATTTAGGTTTCTAGTCCCTGATTGTATCTTAGTACCATACTGTACAGTAGTTTGTATGTTTTCACCACCATAATAGTATTGTGATGCTCAGCCAACAGCAGTAAGGGAGGGTAGGTAAGATAGTGCTTAGCTGTTCACTGTCACATCAAGGTCTCACACTACCTAACGATAAACAGTGAGACACACCATTAAGACATTGGCTACCTGATTTAAATTAGTTTTCATCTCTGCTGATACATGACATTAAGAATCATAAAATACTATACTATGATAACTTCGTTATTATTTTCTTCTGTGTGTTTAATCATAATGTGATGTAACATTTTGCTATTCAACTAAAGTTTAATTGACATTTCCTGTATTTTCTCTAGTATAAATTTCTGTGTAATATATAATTCTCAAGTGGAGTACAGTAGTCAGTTTAACCACTGTATTAGGTGTTCTAAATTTATTTCTGTACTGTACAGGGGTATTCTTATTTGCTACAGTACAATCATTGTGAATTTTTATTGTTTTTTTAGATCCATGAACAAGTGAAGATCACTGCAGAGTAATAGTGGTAAGAAAATTTTTACTGAAATATAGGTTATGAATGATGAACTTAATTTTCTTTCATATTGTTAGCTTTAGTGTTTTTGAATATCTATATCATACTGTTACCAAAGGAAAAACTGACTTTATTATCTCTTAAGAATACAAGTTTCTTCACACTGTGTCCAGTTCTACACCACATCATCATTAGGAAAGAAGAACAATGATGTGGTTATATAGGTTTCACACAAAAATCTTTTAACGTAAGATAATTATTAACATTAAGTTTTTGATACGAAAAGATGCTTTACAACCTATTGTGAAATACTGTACACAAAATTGTATTATTGTCACACACTGGTAGTTTTTTCTTAATATTTTATCTATAATGTATTTACATACATTAAAGTGATACAGGTATATTATGAATTGGAATTTAAAATTGTGCTAAATATTACATATAGATAAGACTACTTGTAATTAGTCTATACCAAAGTTATATTATCAGGGTACAACTCCAGCCAAGGAGAGTAGGTAGTGTTTCAGGAGGGTCTTAGGGGAGGACCATCATTGCAACAGCCACCTCTCTCACTTGGAGGAACATTTGGTCTTTCAGTTGACTTCCCAATTTTTCTTAGAAGTTATTTTTCTGGTGATCCAGCATATGGGTATTCACATAACTTAGATAAATTCAAACAACCATTTATTCTTTGACCTTTTACAATACCAAAATATGGATGGTTAGAGCACTCATTAACTTGTCTTATATTCTGTAAAATTTTTATCATGCTCTTATTTTGAAGATTAAGACAATAAATATCATACCCTTCACATATTTTCAAGATGACTTCGTCCTACTTAGCCTGTTAACCTTGATGCAATAATGAACACCTATCGAAAATGGTATGCAAGATGTCCTGAACTTGACAATTGATCAGTTAAGGATGGCTATTAGCTACTCTTATAAAGTTAGTCACAAATTATTATGTAGGAATATTGTGAATGTACTCATGTTAATTTGGTCTGAGTTCAGATTGACATTACAGTGTACTGTACAGTACTTGAAAAAATATTTTGCAACTAGCATATTTTGAACTTCAAAATACTTTTGAAAAAGAATACAGGTATTGTAAATAGTTTTTATTATTTGTAGAAAACTTATTAGCTACTTTTTTGTGTTATGTAGACTTAGTTTCTCATCAAAGGGAATTATACTTGGCTTATCAATTAGAGGACCTTGTCTGAAACTAAAGAACAAAATTATGAATACAGTACAGTACCCTGTACTCTACTGTACTGTAACCATTGGTACGAATAATTTTTTAGTAAAGTTTTCTACACTTATGCAGTTTCTCACAAATTCAGGGCACAGTGATTTCGTTTTAAAATTTTTATAGTTTTCAATGTCACTCTAAAAGTAAGTTATGGTATATTATATATTATGGTACAGTTTATTTATTTTAAATCAATTTACAACATGTCATCGTTTGAAATCATGTTGGCCTATCTCAATATCTGAATAATGTAAAACCTTTACAGATCAAGGATCCTTAATCTGAAATTCCAAAAACTAAATACAGGGGTAAAATATTTTATTGGACCCTACAGTACGTACCAAACCAGCAATGGCTGTATGTGGAAAGAAGCAGTGGTGCTTGTAAATGAAAGAATGTAATTACCAAAATGTACTCAATAACTTATTAATAGCACTATAACAGTAGACCAAACCAAACCCCTACCGAAACCTAAAGTATTGAAGAATACCTAAGTAAAGTATTGTTTACTAAAAATATATCTTCAATGCAAGAGGCAGGAAGTGGAGGTGTCAGTGGAAAAAAATTATCTGAGATTTGAGGTCTGGATCTAGGTCTGTATGGCTAGCCTTGGCTTAGGCCACTGTAATGTAAGAAAGCCTAGGCATCCAATAACTAAAACACACCCACCCCAAGGTTTTTGGATAAAGGAGCCTTGAACTGTACTTAAACATTATTTATAGTGAAATCAGAATAGGTCACACTTTTTCAATGTTGAAATAGACCTATGTTAACCCTTTGGTTGCAGGAGGCTACCCTAAGCTGAATAAAATCGTCTGGCAAGTGAGGGAATTGCAGCGAAAGGGTTAATAGCACCCCCAAATCGAATATGAATGATCAAAAGCTAGAAATTTATTCACATTGCATACCAGACTCCTAACATAACCCTTATCACAAATTTAAGCAGACAACCTCACCACAATTTAACAAATGTACACTGGTAGGCACTCATGATCCATGTACTGTACTGTAATCTACTGTACTCTATGTCCCTGGCAGAGGCATAAAAGAGCTTTGCAGAATATATATATATATTTTTTTTATACAACTACAGGTATCCGTGCAAATGAATTTATTGCATATTATTGTATTGTACAATATATATATTGAATAAATTTAGAAACAATTTGTAGGTATC